GGAATTGGAGGCAGGCATCAGAAGAATGAATAACGATCGGGAAGAACTGCCAAGGACAGAGTTAGTTGGAGAATCCTGGTCGGCGATGTATGCTCTCACGAAGGGTTATAGGCGTAAGTAACGAAGTGCAGTAGGTAAGCTGATCATCATTTTATGAAGTCATTATCTGTATGTCCGAAGTGTGTATGGAAATGTCGATTTTCCGATAATAATTCTCAAAATCATAGGATTTGGTATTTGGAAAATTACTGTCAGCTTAAAAATCTGTCACAGTATAAATTAGATACTCACTATTATTAGCTTGTCTGTAAGCAACTTATTATTTATTTGCATCCCTGTTTACTCATATATTTCTCGTTAATTTTGAATTCGTGTTGATCTTCTTCCCACCTCATTTGGGTATTGTGGCGTCCCGGCCTAACAGTTAGTTATCGGTGACTGTCTGCTGTAATTTCTCTCAGACAACCGATTATTCACAGTAAGTAGGAATTTTAAGTATAAAGAAAGACACTGCCTTACCTGCGAACTTTCAACATAACGATTAGCACAAACAAATCATATTGCCGTCAATTATATTCGGTAGAAAACTACCGCTTTTACTGGAGTGTATATTTGAACTCCGATCATGTCCTAGTGAGAGCACTAATTTCTATCTATCTTGTATGCCGTACGAAAGAACTTAGTCTGGTATAATTGAATAAATTTTGTTTCGTTTGTTCTTCGTGCAAACTGAATTTTGGTATTTTGGTGGTTATAGTTCCTAAACGAACACTAATCACTGCTGACAAATATTGGTATGTCTGTCAAGGGCATTAAGAATATAACTAAAAGTTCGGTGTTCGCCCAAGAAGCAATGCACTCAGATGCACCTCCAGATTTACGACAAGTCCATTCTCGTGCATTTTAACGTCATGTCCCTTATATTGGTTTAGTTAGTTGCCATAGCAAATTTAGTTCCAGGATCACCTTAGAAGAGTTGAAAGGCAGATGAGGGAACAACAATTATTAGAAGTTAAAGACTTGAAGTTTAGACAAGGTAACAACTACTGTGCCTTCAGATAGAGTTCAGGTCCTTAAGGCTTATAGAGAACACGTATGGTGAAATAACTACTGCTCCCCAATTGTGATGACAGATGGAGATATGTTCTTCGTTTCTTTGGAGACATGTCTCCAGAAAGTTCAGAACGTCTAGAAACAAAAAAGAAGATAGTGACTTTGTCATTGCTTAGTATGGGTCTTAAGCCCTCAAAGGTAGAACTTAGTAGTTTTGATGGTCAGTCAGCAAGATAATCGGAATTTATCAGACGGTTTGAGTAGTATTTTGTGTCCAAGGTCGACGACGATGATCAGTAGCTCTTATTCTTGTTACACTATTGTAAAGGGAACGCTCTAGAGGCCATAGAGGAATGTATCACTCTTCCAGTCATCAGGCTATTAAAGAGCATGCGATATACTGAAACGAAACGGGAAAGTTTGTCTAGGTTAGCAACAAAAATAGAAAATTGTTCTGTAGTCCTGGAACTTATGGATAAATCAGTGAATCTTAACTCTCTAGGAACGCTAGAAAGCACAGTAATGAAGTTGCCCTCGGTGTCACAGGTAAAACGAGCTGAATCAGTCGGAAAAGTTGCAGCAAATAGTACGGAGCCTACAATCGCTTAGTTAACAGAGTTTGTATCGTGTAACGAAGGTATATTATTCAATAGATTCGGGCATATTGCAACGAGTAGTTGACGAGTTGTGAACAAGGTAGCCAGTTCGACACAGGAGTTGTCGTTCTGTAAAATCGTTAGCAAGTCATAACGTGCTATATGCAGAGAGAGTCACATGATTGATAAATGTTACAAATTTTCCACTTTAACAGTCAACGATAGGTGGGTGAAAGCGAGAGAAAAAGGAATGAGCTTTTGTGGTGTTAGAAGGGGTCACAGATCAGCCGATTGATAAGTTCGTGCTGCCACGAGGGCTAACAGGTGTATGTAACTAAGCGATTTCTTCCCGTGCATAATTTTTGCAGATTTCAGCTTCGTTGATTTCCCTACAGTAATGGGTATTGACTTGGATGGCATTGGTGGTCCCTGTTCATCCCTTATATTTCTTATAGATTCGTGTGTGGTGTCACTAACCACACCCCTTGATCTCTCATTCCTTTGACAACCGACAATTTTTAGCTAGGTGGTTTATCTTTAATCAAATTTCACATTACTTACTTTTTAAAGCGAATTCTACTTTCTTATCAACATCTTGAGCTGTGAATTTTGGACACTGGTCTTGTAAATTGGCTTTTGAACATAACATGATTTCGCAAAGAGGCTAGTTTTTCTAAGCGAACTAGCTTCATTCTTAAAAATACCGGCATATGTTATTCCAGCCTCTTATACTCTGTAGTAAACTGTCTTTTCACAGTCCACTGATCTGTGTTATCACGACTGGTTGAGCGTCTGTCAACATGAAACCTGTTTATCGGATTGCTCCTTCACAAATGCCTAATATCAATAAATGTGGGTTCTCGGTCGTTTTTAACAATCCCACAGGTCTCTTTAGCCCAATAATGCTGCGTTTGCACTGGGAGTTTTAAGATTATATCTTCTATGGTCCTGAAATGTATTTCATCTGCTTTAGAGTTAACTCACACATCGTCATCTCTCAATATAGCTTCTTCAAGGTGTCTGGATAATTTCCTTTAATACTGGGAAAGCTTAATAACTCATCAATAAACGTCCTTACTGTGATGTGTTTTTGACCGAATTATTCGATTAGTATTTCTAGAACTTTACGGTAGCCAATTTCCGATCTTAGTGAGGCACAGTATGGTATGGCTGTCTTTGCTTCCCCATCGCAATTTTGGATAAGGTAATTTAGCTTCTCTCTCAATCCACTTTTCTTATTAACGATGAATTCCTTAAAACTTCTTGTGAAATTCCAGTAATTTACAGGTGTGTCGTTGAACCTCAGGATTTCCTTCTTTAGTAAATATATATTTTTTAATATTACACTCTCATTATCAGTTATTGATCGATCGGAACTTTCCCCTTCCTGATGATGTAACCTCTCTAATTCAATTTCTCTCTCCAACTGAACTACACGTAACCTAGCTAACTCGAATTATATCAGGTGGTTGGTTATGAGTTCATTCCTTTCAAATTGGTCTTCATTATAATCTCCCAGACGATGAGGTGACAACTCTGGAATCTCATCGGAATAGTAGTATTTATTGGAAGTCATTTCAGTAAGTGTATCGATTCACTGTTCAAAACTTTGTAGGAATTAATTTCCTACAGACGCAATTCTAAATTAATCCCCAGACTGTCGAACATTGAGTCTTAGTTTGATCAAAGTTAGAACATGTAAGCTATTTGGCTTAATAAACTTTATTTGTCTCTAAAACGTAAATGAATACTGTTAGCATACAAAAAACAACTATTACAGTTTATTAAACAGGGGAAAGGAGTGATATAAATAACACACCAAACGGTAATTAGAGGATAAGAAAAAATGAGTCAACGAAACTTAATATATTCAGTTTGGGATTGTGGGGATTGTCGAATTTCCTTGAAATCATGAACTGATTAGTGTTCGACCACCATTAAAAACCTGGAAACACTGGACAGCCGTTTGTCCTAGTACGGGACTCTCGGAGTTCTAGTGAGAATCCGTGGGCAGTGGAGTTCAACCGTGTCGGGTGTGAGGCAGTTACCGACCAAATACAATGGAAGATGGTCGCGTAACATCGTGCATTGGTTAAAGTTAGACATTGACATCTTTGGATGCCAACTCACTGGTCTAGAAGTTAAGCGTTCGCTGAATAGGTCACCAGGCGTTTGACTTTTCCTCTCTGATAGAGTCCACAAATTCTAATATTAAGAATTCACTTTAACGTTTTAGTCACCACCGTCTCATAAATGTTGCAAACTATGTGATATTGTTGATCTAAAAAGGTTCAAATCCCCAATCGACGGAGAGATCGGAATGAAGAGGTTAATTCCATGTTAGTTTTATAATAAAAACCCAAATAAATTACAAAATGAGCCTCTGGAAGTTAATGTGATGTATAAATATTGGTCTCACAAATCACTGACAATCTGCATATAATCTGCATAGATATCGAAAACCAATATCTTGTAGTGTCCATTATAATGAATAAGTATTAGTAAGTGATAGTAATAATAAGTATACCATAATATGATTATAAGTTGGTTCCTGTTACGTATACACACCTCACTAATAGTTTCCTTGTTTTTTCCTTAATTCGTTTTTTAGTTAAGTCTTTTCTGTCGAAGTTTGGTAGCATTTTTCTCTGTTCTGATAACCATGATAAATTATCTCGTTTGGTTCACCTGTACAACACTACATGTTTGAAGCTGTATAGTTGGAAAATATTTCCCGAATCGCTTCGTGTGCTCTGTGTTGTTCCGTACATCGTATAACGTAGTAAAGATTTAAGTATTCCACATTGTTTAGCTTTGCTATTAAACTTGAGTGTGTATATTTTGTGTGAAGTAATTGCCTGCGGGTGTATTTCTTTATTAAGTTCCCGTGCTGCTGCACACGGAGTCTTAGCAAAGTTATAGTCATCAAAACAGGTAACTATTAAGCTAACAATTAGAATTCGTTTCGAAAATATCTATTAATACAATTAGTACAATAACGCAAAATTGTAGTCAATTGCATTAGAACGATAGACACGCATACGAAATTGTTGTGGAGTCACTGCAACATGAATCGATAACGATAATTAATAATGTTTATATAACTGGTGCAATCTCAAGATTGGTAGTTAAATAAAAATGGTCTGAGTAATAACCAAATGAGTCTTGAGTGTTGGGTGTTCAATTTGAATACTATTAGTTGATGCACTCGTATTGATAGAAATGAACACCCTTAATAAGTCAGTTGTTAAGTTAGGTATATTGACCATAAGACCATACGTAGTACTTCCTTTATGCATCTTCAGATTTATTTAAATGATTTTCTCTTTCCACACTTTTTGTACCTTACAGGCACTATCCTATCGGACTTGTATTTGATATGTGTGCAGATACAATGGACATTCCATGGAAGATAACAGTTCATTTTAGTGTATGTGGTCGATATAAACCATGTGTATTTATACTTGTTACACACTTATAATCTGACAGTTATCTTTTACTACTCAGAATTATTGTTGGTTGGCAAATCACTAAAATTGATCACAACAATATCACTATTTTTGCGAATCTAAAATCGGCACGTAGTAAATAAATATAGATAATAGTGATTGGCATTTCTATGACATTGTAAAGTCTTTTAAAATGTTGTTTATCTGAGTTATTTGGTATAAATTATATGGGTCTAAAAAACAATGTATTCTCAAATCAATCATTTGCAAATCAGCATAAACATAATCAGAATTCTCCACCTTTTAATAAACAGTTCTTTAATTTATGTACCAAGCTGCGCTGCAATTCGCATTATTTCCATTTAATATTTTAATTCCTATATGGTACTTTTTCTCTCTCCTTAACTTTAGTATATTCACTTAATTGTAGATAAATTAGTTCATCGAAGTCAACTAGTTTTCAAAGATGAACATTTCAACTTTTAAAAAAAGAAGTTATTGTGTAATCTCCACAAGTTTCCTCTGCTAATAATAAGTTAAGGTTAAAAGCTATTAGTGCTTGTGACAATATGAAGTTTGTAAAACATAAAATATTCGGTCATTAAGGTGCGAAGGGTAACTGTTAGTACACTGAATCGGAAACTAAAGAGTATGTTATGCGAATAATAATCAAGAGTTCTCGGTAAAAAGAATTCTGTGTAACAAAATAACCATAGGAAATTAGAATATCTGTTTAAACAATAAGTAACGGAAATAAAAAAGGTTAAGGTCATGGAAACACAATAAATCTAACTGACTTCTGATATACATAACTCTGGTTTAATCGAATATTTGTCTTTGTGTGAATTAGATTCAAACGTTGGCTTTTGGGAATGTTTAAGTAAATCTTGTAGGTTATATCAAATGAATGATCCAAGGTTAACTGACAATAGTCACTTAAATTTCAAAGATCTACACTGTTTTGATGGACGAAACAAAAGATAGATCTTGATAAATAATCTAATTACCCGTCTCACTCCGGAGAAGCACTGAAGTTGTCCAGTTGTAATAAATCATTTCATGCAGAAATAATAGAAACTATATAAAATTCCTTTCTTATTGGTTTTTGCAGATCGTTTTCATGTTTATCACTAGTTATACACACTTGAGGTTCATGAACAGCATTTTCTTCGGAGCTTTGCGAATTATCTTACAAAGTCCTATGTAATATTTTTTCCCAGATATTCACCTCATGTTGTAAACATTTTGATGAGCAATTTCTTATCATAGCATAAACAAGGAGAGTGAATAAGCTTTCACTTCACTATTAAGATCCTTTCTAAAAGCGTATTTGTTGACTAATGTAGATTTGTCATGCACTAATCTTGTTAGTGTCTAGTCATTCCTTTTAGTGTATTAAACATCATAAACAGAAATATGGAAGTCTAATATTTTTTCGCCTCTGCATCAGTGGGCCTCAACATACACAAAGGAAAAAACAAGGTCCTCAAACACAACACGGAGAACACCAACTCAATCACACTTGATGGAGAAGTTCTGGAAGATGTGGAGTCTTTCATGTACTTGGGAAGCATCAATGAACAGGAAGGATCGGATGCGGATGTAAAGGCGAGGATTGGCAAAGCAAGGGCCACATTCCTACGATTGAAGAAGATATAGGACTCAAAGCAACTGTCAACCGGTGTCAAAGTCAGAATCCTCAATACGAACGTCAAGACAGTTCTATTGTAAGGAGTCGAAATTCGGAGAACTACAACCGTCATCAAAAAGGTATAATCAATTATAAACAGTTGTCTATACAAGATGCTCAATATTCGTTGATCGGATACCATCAGCAACAACCTGCTGTGGGAGAGGACAAACCAGCTTCCAGCTGAGGAGGAAATTAGGAAAAGACGTTGGAGGTGGATAGGACATACATTACTTAAATCACCCAACTGCATCACGAAGCAAGCGCTAACTTGGAATCGTGAAGGGAAACGGAAAGAGGAAGGCCAAAGAACACTGGAATTGGAAGCAGACATGAAAAGAATGAATAGCAACTAGAAAGAACTGGAAGGGGTTGCCCAAGACAGGGTTGAATGGAAAGTGCTGGTGGGTGGCCTATGCTCCTCGACGAGTGGTAACGGGCGTCAGTAAGTAAATAATATTTTTTTCATCATAAATCGCACTTAATAAAATACTTCGGAGTTTTTATCATTGTCAACTGTTCTTATTTTCTTACGGTATATTATTTTAGAATTATCCGACTGACTTGCTTTTATCCCCACCGGTAAGTCGACTAGCTGTTGAAGCACATTTCCTGTCGATGATTAAAGAAGCCGATGCTTTAAAGCATCGTAGCTACGTTATCAATCAAATGCAAGCTAGAGATCATCGGCAATTATGGAATGGCTTACTACACTTTCGATATGACCAATTTTGGTCGATCAATAGCAAATTAATGGAGCCTCTTCCACAAAATACCAAGGGTAAGTGTTCTTATATCTCGCTACAGATGTTTAATATTAAGTCAGCTAAATAAGAAACAGTTTTCTTCGCTTTCACACTTTACGCGTCGTGGTAATCTAGGTAAAACTTCCCGCAAAAATAACACTAATATCCTTGTTTTTGATAGTGCTATGAAATAGCACTTCAGTTTATATACATCGAATTGCTTTACATTAAATGATAACATTATCTAATATTCACTTGATTTTAAGCTGCATGTTCTTGTATCTTAAATTATTTACATATCTTGACAGAATACATTTTACTATTGAGACTTTGGTTTCATTACTAATTTCCCTTTATTTGTATCATCTCGGTGGAGTGATGTCTTAGTGTTTAGGGCGTTCAACTTTTAAGCCACCAAATCACAGGTTCGAACATTACTTCAGCTACTCCAATTCGGGCAACCGGGCAGTATCATTAACCCGCACACTTGGAGTGTGTGGCCTATACCAAAGTTTCTAATGAATAAATCAAATTACCTTTTTTCATTTATGTTGTTCTTTTTGTAAATATCTCAATATTTCTGTGTTTTTATGAAATTTATTCATACAAATCGGTGTATTTTTTCTGACATTATAAGCTTTTACTTACCTGCTCTGTCTCGTCATACAACAAGCAGCTTTTACAAACAAGGAAATGTAGGTTCAGTAGATATCGAAATTATTTATCTCTTTACGCGATTAGGAGTGAACTTGTCTGTAGTCAAAGAAAACAAAATGTAAAGATACTCAAGGTTATGAAATTGTTACCCATTTAAATGACTGTTACCGGAATCCACTTATGTGAATTCAACGGGAATATTGTACATAACGTATATATTTACCCGCTACCATAATTCTTCATTTCTGACCACTTTCATGGGTATCTTTTGCCTTTCTGTTGACTGTTACAGCTGATATTAAAGAGTGCATGGTCCAGATTGTACACTGCCCAAAAATGATTTAACGGAAGAGAACCGGTATCATCTTACGCATAATGTGTTAGCATTGGTTCATCGAAATTTCGTATATTACTGAGTATTAGTGTTATCTCATAATTTCCCATATACTAAAAAGAAGGTATCTAATTAATGTGAAAGACTTTTTCGTTTTGGCGAATCCATTGAATCATTATGAAAACGTCATCTGTGTCATTGCTTACAAATCATGTCTCTTTTTATTTTCACTTAAATTAGTTCAATAAGCCGTTGTGGATCATTGGTAATAAAAAAGAATCGACCTCATGAAACGAATATTTTTACTATACTGTATAAATGTGAACCAAAAATTATTTTTAGTCTCAACAAGAATTTTAAAGATGAATGAAAACTCGGAGGTTTTCGTACTTTTCCATTTCATCATGGCATAGACACATGCATAACAGCGAATGTGGCTATTTGCAAATGTACTCTGTACTTGGTCTCAAACATTTTATTCGACTCAGTGGGCTAATCGTAGAAAAATTTAACTACTTTCTGATTAAAATGACCGTTTTCACTCCAAATTGAATATTTTCTCTGCTCCCAAATCATATCATTTATTATACGTTGTTTCTCTTGATATTCATTTTTAATTTGAAGTATGTCCTATATTTATTACCAGGTTTTTTTTCAATAGTCTTTTCGAAAACTTAAAAGTTGAGGTGATTTGTGCTATTGTTTATGCCATGTTTTTGAATCTTATCATATCTCTTATTTGTTCCTAATCGTCATCAATAATTTAATTCTTACAATATGAACTTAGTGCCCGATTTCCTACATATGGCACAGAATAGGAAACTGCTGAGATCGTTTCAGTTCCTAAATGTTAAATCCTATAAACTTCCATGTATTGGACACCAACTCCGCTTTATTGTAGTACATTATATGGACTAAATCGAACAACAGTAATAAATATATTTGGAAATTTTTTATTGTATTCGAGTAAGTAGATTTTTTAAACAGATATTACTACATTACATGCTGTGCGTCAAGAAAAATCATGTTTAGCAGTGTATAAAAAATCACGCTTAATTTAATCTTAGCACCTTACTTGTCTTAAAATACATATACGTATTGAAGATTATTATGGATTTCTTCTACACTATTTACTATTGTGAGATGTTCTCATTCACCTATCATCTTTAGATCTTCCTTTAGAGGAAATGTCTGCCCCTGAAATTCCAGAAAATAAACCATTGTCTTCAAGTCTCAATAATATGTCATCTTCAAAGTGTAGAACTTTTCGTTACATTCCATGTCGTCTTTATTGTGTTTCTGAGAATTCAAGTTCCACACCATCTGGTTTCATTCAAAAACTTATTCGTCCTTTAAATGATGACGGTTCGCTTACTTCACTTCAAGATGCTATCGAAATTCTTTTGCATACAAGTAAAAATCCACTTGTACAGAATACCAAACCAAAAGGTAATCTTTATAAGTATTCATATATTATTTCACTTTTTAAATAATTGTAGAGGCTAATTTCCTTTATATCTGACTCCGATAAATAGTATCCTGTTAACTGAGTATTTAACACGGGCTAAATCTCCTAGTATAATTATGGATTTACTCTAGATTATTCAAAAGCCTGAAAACCAGTTGTAGAGATAGTTTATTGCAAAATATTAGTAAAATCAATAAGCGTGCAGTAAGCAAGCACACTAGGAAACGAGTGAGACAGTGTGTCTGTAGGAGTGGATAAACTATTGATTGTCTGTGTGTTACAACCAATGGGAGAATACATTTAAATATTGATGTGCAGACACGCGCTCAATCAGACTCACACATAATTTTACATAGTGGGATAAATGTCTAAATTACAGTGAGCAGACAAGTAATACAATAATATTAATGGTTGAAATTGAGTCAATTGTAGCTATACCACCATGGAAAACCTGGAAGCAGTGGACGGCCGTTTCGTCCTAATGTAGGACTCCTCAACAGTGCGCATCCACGATCCCGCCTCACGAGATTCGGACCCAGGACCTGTCACTCTCGCGCCTATTAATGTCAAATCGATCTACTTAGAATAAGTAATTTTATGATAAAATCACATTAATAACTAAGATTGTAAATATGTCATTGGCTAACTACTTACTTTCTGCCATCGAAATCGAGTAATTAGTTTATTAATGCTACTTAAAATTCAAACTTTATTTTACTTTCAAGCACTTAGCAAATGATATTCATGCTCTACTAACTACTATGCCTGTAAACCAAGCAATGTAGTCTTACCTTTCTGTGACAATATTCGAACTTGTAATAACGTATATGTTAATTGGCCATTTAGCCTAATGTATATCCTGACTTTTGTTACGCGTTTGGTTACCTTTTTCATTAAAACAAAATTGCTAAGCATTATGGAGAATAAAAGATTGTATTTTATTTAGTTTTGTACAGATCGAGGTCAAAACGTCTCTATTGAATAGAAAATGTGATCATACTCCCGAAATCATGTTCTTTGAATGTTATTAAGGATGAGTTACGAAAATGTTGATAACTCGAGTAAAGCATGTACTTCATTAGTTACAGCCTTTTCTTATTTAAATGATTAAAAAATACACAGGAAATGAAAGCGTACTTTAAAAATATACGTTACTTTTCCTTCAAAGCACTTTCGTGCTTTATGATCCCATTTATCCAACGTGATTCAAATAAGCTTCGTCTATACAGCTGACTGATGTACCTACATTTGTAAATCATGTTTGTCTTGTCCAATATGGTCTGATTCTTTTGATTTGTAATTTTGATGTAACTATGTTGTACCATTTTTGTCCTTCAGGGTATCTGTTTTTCATCCATGGTATCACATTACCCCACGAAACACCGATGCAATGGATCAGCGAACACTTATCCTATCCTGACAATTTTGTGCATGTTGTTGCACGTCCTCAAAGCCATTCTCATCGGATTAAAATTCATAATCCTTCATACATGTAAATGTTTCCTAACATTACGGTATATTGTCTTTCAAGTACTTTGAATTTAAATTTTCCAGTCCCAACAACATATGTTACAGGGTCAATAACTTTGGTATCTTTATACAATTATGATGATAATAAATTCTTACCTAATCTGCTTTCTTATTTCTTGTAGTTCTATTGAGATTAAACCCGGAATGTGTCAAACATTAAACTAATATATTAGTACAAAAAATATGTATTTATAAGTATTGTACATTCCCAAGCAAAATGATTCGGCATTGTAAATTACAGAACTGTAATTACAAATCTTATTGGAAGAGACCTAGAAAAAAAATACTTTTAAAGAAAGTGATAGTAGTTCGTTGATCTGCATTATTAAATATAAATTGCTGCGATATTCTAGTAACTATTTTCTGTTTTATCGTAGTTTATGAGTACTCTTCATAAAATTTTTTATATCATTGGTAAATCACACATAATGAATCATAAGGTGGTGATGTTAGCGTCACCATATATTTTCCATTTACATATTTTCACTGAATATTGTGTTAGTCCGAGTTATCATGCATCCGAATCCATGGTGTATATTACGTAGAAAACAATTGTATATAACGTATGAACTTACATTAACTTTACCCGTTATTCAATTTGTACATCTTACTAAACTATTGTGTCAGAAATAAAAATAATATATTTGTAATATCCCAATGAGTAGAAAATTGGATTTTCTGACGTTTCGTGACTTAGTGTAAGTCACTTCTTCAGAGAATAAACAACCAAATTAAAATTAATCCAAGTTTAAATAGTACAACGGAACAATGCAATATTGGATCAATCAAAAACAAGTCTGAACAAGTTGATGTCATGTCATTTCTGTCAAGGTGATTCATAAGTGATATGTATGTAAATTTGTGTGTATGTATATGTGTATTGTTTAAGAATGAAAACTTGTGTGACCTTTATGGTAAGAAAGGATAGAGTTTAAATTTGTAATATGATAGTGTGAAATTGTAAATACGATCAGACTGCATACGATGTCGTAAGAGAAATTTGGAAATAATTTTTTCGGCACACCCAAAGTATGATAAAATTTTATAAGGATCGTGTGGAGGATATGATCCTAAATATCGCCTGTCTTATTTAGGCGTGTATTGCGTATACTAATAATCTTTGACATTTTCATGTGGTTTATAGTAAACAAATACCATTCAACAAGTTTGCCTGTCACCATTGATTGCGTGTTGTGAAGATCCCAACTATAAAATGATTTTGAGTAGGCTTAGCTACACTACTAAAATAAAACGTAGAAACTCACATGATATTCCATTGATTTGTCCTGCCAAGTTAGTCAGTAGTTCAGGATAAGAGTTAGGAAGGACAGAAAATAACAAGCTTTAGGCGAAGACAAGGTGTAATTGGACGATGAATGCTGTTGAACATATTGGATGTGAAATAAAGACGCGAAGACGATTTTCGATACCTGTGACATAGATATTAGCAAATCATTAGGAAAATTTAGGCAATAATGAGTCGTCAATGTGTGATTGTTATGCGCAATACATTTTAGAAACTTATTTCCCTTAACCGAAATGGCTTTTGTAGAGAAAGAGTTACATTGTATGATGAGGATGTTACTTCAAGCAGATAAACATCCGTTATAGAGACATGATTTTGATATCCTTTGCTAGCTCCTTTAAGCATGAATTTCAACCATGTAGTGGCAAAACCATTTATTAAGCATAACCTCATTATCGAATGTAAGACCCCATTCTTTCAGGATCACCTTCACCAGTATGTTAGCCCACTATCTAACAAATGTTGACTTCTGAATTACCTTTTTTTCAATGAATTTAGTTCATTCATGGCTATTTTCCTGTTATTTGCTAGGTACAGTTTGTTATGTCCAAACATGGTTCGACAGGTCTCATAAAAACTCACATGGCTTAATGTGTTAACTGTTCCCTATGGTATTTTGTGCTACCATATAACTTGCAGGAACGGTAATCAAAACTGTTTTTTTTTATAATTTGGACTCGTATAACAGCCGTGACATGATGCTAACAGTTGGATAGTAAGAAAATAATTAGGCTCAGTTGTAACAAGATAAATACGAGTATAACAAAAGTTAAATAACTTCATGATCGCTTTTCTCAGATTCTTAAAACTACAAACTATACAACTTTTTGTTAATGTTACCAGTAAAGAGCAACACTTTAGTGGTCATTTAAAACCACAACCGAATAGACCAAATTTTTTATCAGATGTATATATTTGTGTCGGTATAATTACCAAGGTTTGACTTGATAATTTCGAATAAGTTGAGCATATAGTGGATCTTTATCAATAAATAATAAATTTTTAATATCCCAATGAGTAAAAAAATGAGATTTTCTGACGTTTCGTGGCTTAGTGTAAGCCACTTCAGAAAATAAATAACCAAATCAAAATTAATCCAAGTTTAAGTAGTACAACGGAACAACAAGAATATTATGTGATCAATAAAAAAACAGGTCTAAATAAATCCATGTCATGTCATTTCGGTCAACGTGATTCATAAGCGACATATATGTAAATTCACTTGGTATTGTTTTGCTTGTATCTTCCCTTTTGAGGTTTAAGACTGCAATTGGTCGGTCTGTTATTGGCATATATGCATACTGTGCGTATGCCTCGATATTGCCTTAATTCACAAGCTCTTATAAGCAAAGATGGATAGTGGCTAGCAGTGAAAACCAGGACGCGCGTTTTGCCCTATTTGAGACTCCTCAGCCGGATGCACCTGCATCAGTTGATGTTCACTCTGGGACTCGAACCTAGTACCATTCGCTTCAAACGTCATCGCGTTATTCACTCAGCTACTGAGTCCTGATAGCCATTTGCTTGTGCAATGGGGTGAATTTAAATTCACTTGGTAGAATATCATTAAACGATCGGCCATTTTTTCTAATTTTTTTCATCCCATTTTCCAATATTTTTCATTCCGTTTCGTGCAATTAAATTGCCAGTTTTAAATGCGTTATAATTGATTAGTTATGTCTTAAAATTGTTGTAAAATGTCAGTACTTGTCGACAGAGTACATTGTATTCAAATTATGGAGGAGGGTAACGTACCATGTACAAGCTCTGTCATTTCTCACGTTGTCACAGAAACGGAGAATGTATTCTTGAATACATTGTATCTCATAGCGTTCCAATCAATTGAAGCGTTAAAGTGCGCGATCAGAACTTATGGAAGATCCACGTACTGCCATTATGTGGTGAGAGATTCGCATTTCCACAGAGATCGGAAATCGTATGTTAAATTTGTATGTTGGAGAAATGGCCGTAGAACACCTAGTGGTTCCTCACAGCCGATTCGACAAAGGAGGTAGTTTGATTAGTGTTATTATATTTTTTTGACGAAGGACTTCCATGAACACTCAATGTCCGGCCTTCATCTTTTGTAAGTTTAGTGAAGGTTACTGATTTTTTGTTCGTGGGAATGTGCATCACAATCACAATTGCAATCCTCTGAGGTACAACAGTAATTCTTGGGTGCGCAGGTTAACGGAGGTTGAGCTTGGAACAGTGCGACCACACCTGATATCTGTGACAGCAGCATTCGATATTAAGCACTTTGATGAATATTAAAATTCATTTGACATCATTAATCATAATGCGATTATCGCTCATGTATTCGTAAACTTTTTTATAAGGTTTATGAAATATAAAGTAAACGATTTCTTATAAAAGAATATCTCATTTAATGAACAGTAATGTAATAATTTTAGATTCTAAATGATGTGATTACCGTTCATGTATTAGTAACACATTTATAATCTTTCTAACAATAGTACATGCAAAATTTAATAGGAATATTTCAATATAGTGAAAATTGTCATTTTGTCGTTTGGTAAATGAATATAAGGTTTTATTTATTATCAGTTCAGGGGTTGTGGAAATTGTTAAGTTCTTGATTGAGATCATGAACCCAGGGCTTTCAGTCCCGCGCGCGAATGCTTAACCTACTGGACCACTGAGCTGGCATCCAATGGTGTTAATGTCTAACCTCAATCAATCCACGAAATTGCGCGACCACCTTCCATTGTACTGAGGTAAACACCTGTTTCTACCCCACACGGATTAGCTCCACTGGCCACAGCTTCCCTCCAGAAGTGGACATAATAAGATGATTAAAGCGATTAATGATTAAAGGTCATAGAGGTGTTAAAAGAAATAAGAATATTATCTTATTTATGAATAAAATAATGAGAATATAAAACAAGCTGAAACCAGAACTATGAGTACAAATGAAGTATGTCTTTTGGTTATCGTTACCTTGGCCTTCATTATTATTCATAAATACTCATCATATCACTTTATTTATATTTACACCTCTATTACCTCTAACTACTGTAACAAAAACATTTTAATCAACAATTTATTTATTACATTGGAATTAAACGTCAGTATACCTAAATGTTAATTGACCTTATTCATATTTATCTGTATAATTGAGATATAAATTTATTGCGTCAAACGACGTAGGCTTGTTCATCTACACCTAATGCAACCAATATTTCAAATGCTTGTCAAAAATGGTTATTTTCGTAATATTTAGATATTTCCGGTTTCATATTATAAAGAGCAATATTCACACATGACGAAAAATATACATACAGTTTTTTATTGTTCCTCTATTATGCTTAACAAAGGGAACCGATGATTTTCGAAAATCATTCCATACCTTATGAATAAGTAACGTTTGCAATGTCATTTACTAATTCATGTATTAATTTGGCTAGACCGAACACTTGGGAAGTATTTGCTATTGACATAACGTGAAAAAACCTAACGCTCACTTCCCAAACCCAGTAACCGATTTACATGACTGCTTACACACACAAGTATTTATTATTATAATTAAAAACTGCTAAACTACAAAGAATGTACAGGTAAATAGAATTAACGCTTTTAATGGATTAGCAAAATATAAGCCTATTACAATATAACGTTTTATTAATGAAACCGTTTATAAAGCGAAAGTAAACAATTATTTTGTATTAAAAATTACTACTTACAAAACAACCCAATCATAAATACTAATTGCCTCTTTCGAAGAAATTATTACTTCTTTGAGACAGCGTAAAAGTGGCTTAATTTACTGATCCTTTACGGTTCGCGTGATTTATACATGCCCTAATCATTATTTTATCATGATGATTTATTGATATGTTCTTTTTTATTAAAATACCATGTGTTAGGAAAAAACTAATGGTATTACTTAGGTGATAATTTGTTTAATAATTGTGTATTAAACATTTGACTACCTTTCTACTTCAGTAATCACTATTATCAAATATTAAAACCAGTTATTAGTTTTTTTACCAAAATTTTCTTTTAATAAGATACATAAAATTAATCTTGTCAAGATAACTAATGACTTCAATTCCAGTTCTACTTGATCGAAAAAAAATTTATCCCAATATACATTCACTAACAGGAGTATAGCAGGGTAGTGAAATGGAGTTGGTGTATTTCTCTTCAGAAGTTAAAATTCTTACCAAGACACGGATGAAACAAAAAGAATTATTTATTCAAAATAAATTTCAAATGTAAAAATGCCAATTCTCACATCCAATCAAAGCACTTGGTGCTGTTTCGATTTGAACTAATCAGATTACAAAGATGAACAGTTTACGACCAATTAAAAAAATATTAAAGGTGAAAAAATGTTTGTTCATTATCACTTGAGCACACAGTTGCAAAAACAAGTTCACCAATCACCAATTCCTAAATTATTTTAGCACAGTAGGATTAAGCATTATATGGAACGCTTCAGCTACTCTCCTTTCTTTGTAGTTGGAAAAACGTTTTTGTAAAATTTTGATATTCTTTAAATCGATTTGGTGGTCTTTGAAAATGGCGTGAACTGCTATTGATGATTGAATTTGAAGTCTATCCAGTTCTACGGGATTATTAGGAGGTTTCTTTGTGTACCTAATATGTTCTTTGACACAAGTCAAGATTTCGCGAGATGACTCTCCAATATAGAAGGCATCACAATCGACACAACCTAATTTGTAGACGCAATTCTGTGTTGACATGAATGGAATTCTTTCTTTTAAGCAAACTAAAGTATTTCGAAGTGTGTTCGTTGTTTTGTAATATACTTTAATTCTGTTATAATTTTAATAATTTTCCTATGAAGATTATTAAATGTATATTAAAACAAGACGTTTCATTGCGTAATAATGATAATTCGAATGAAATACCATGGATTGGTACTGCAGTTTTACCATATCGTCATGGTACAACAGAACTTCAAAGAATCTTAAGACAACAGATAACGAAAACGAATCCGAAACTAAGTCACTACAGTTGACAAGGTGAGTATTTTCTGAAACGGTAGTCTTAAGTAAATCAGGTTTGAGTAGCACTAACGAAACTAAAGCATCCTTAGTACTGCTGCACTAAAGCGATGTATTAGTAGCATTTTATCCTGAAGACATCCATTCATTCGCCGCTGAAAGAGATATGGAATATACTAATAATTTTTGAATCACGCACCTGAATTTTTTGGTGTGAGATAGTTACGAATAATGTCGCAAATGGGGGTAAATGTTTTTCAAGCATGAAAATAACAAAACCATGACTTACGTGAGTAAGTGACCACCAAATAAATTGATGGAAAAGGTCTAGATGTAGTTATAGATCAGTTTGAAGATAGCTGATTAAAACAATGAAAAAGGAAAACTAATCGACGAGTAAAACTGATCAGTTTTTTATTTATCCTTAGCAGTTCAGCATGTAGGTTTTATTTTCAGTATGTATAAGTGATTATGTATTTGATTATTTTTTATGTGTGGAATCATATTTGAGGAAATAGTCAAGTGAATTACTCTTCTGAAGATTATAAAACCCTTATAAGGTATCAGCGGTGAGTTCCCTGTGTAAAATCACGATGGAAATAAAATTACATCATTTTCCATAGATTTTAAATACTTTGAGGTATATTCCGAACTGTTATTTCCTTTAAAATGGATATTTAATTATTCACTTATCTTGGAAGTCTCATCAGCCCTTGTGGTCTGGTGTGTGACGAAATCTCAGCACGGATACAGAAGGCTCGACTAGCTTTTGCTAACTTGCGTCATTTATGGCGTAGGTGAGATATCCGTCTACCAACCAAAGGACGTGTTTACTGCGCAGCAGTTCGTTCCGTCCTACTTTATGGCAGTGAAACATGGCTGGTAAGAGTAGAGGATATTCGTAGGTTACTAGTATTCGATCATAGGTGTCTTCGAAATATTGCTCGTATATCCTGGAACCATCGAGCAAGTAACGCAGTTGTTAGGAAACGGGTTCTAGGTAAGGATGGCAAATCGATTGATGAAGTGGTGAAACTATATCAGTTGAGATGGCTGGGACACGTGTTACGTATGCCCAACGACCGACTGCCTCGACGTGCTATGTTCAGTGGTATAGGAGTAGGTTGGAAGAAAACTAGGGCCGGCCAGACCAAAACATGGCACAAGTCCATGAAGTCACTGACAAGTGGTCTGAGTCATGTTGGTAGGTGTAGACTACCTGGTTAGGATCCTCGAGACGATAGCAACCGATGGTTAGAGACCTTGAATGACATGGCTCAAAATCGTTTGTAATGGCGCAGGTGCATCCACTCTTTGTGTTCTCGCAAATTCTAATCTCCTGAATTCTTCATGTCCCTTTTTTCCTCTTTCCAAATTTATTTCACTGAATTATACTCTTTAAATAACATCTCCAAATCCTAATCTTCCCGATCACTGCTTACGCTCTTGCTACCTCTACCACAACGGGATTTGGATCGACAACTGCATCTCTGTGTTAAGGTGGTGTGGCAACTCGAACTGATGTACGTACGTACGAAGTTCTACGTTGTTACTGACTGACTGATTTAATTATTCAATAACTAACAAGTCTTCTACTTATAAGTTTTTTGTACCGCGTCTAATTACCATAAAGTACAAATTAACGAAGATTTCACGGAAATGCTATGTTATTAATCAGCATTTTCAGGCTCTAGAGATTTTTGTTAAAATTGTATATGACAGTAGTGCATTCAAGTCTCTTGCAAAGATGTGGAGTGACTTTTAAACGTATTGAGCCTGAAGCTCTATTATTAAGAAATCTGATTAATTATCCACTTTGTTTACTTGTTCACTTTGAAAAGATAGTTTTTATCTGAGAAGCTAAACGGTATACAAATCAAAGAGACATTATAACATAAGCTTACCAAAGACACTACAATAATGCAACGAAATAATTAAAAAGAAATTGAACATAACTTATGCTGAATGGTTTAGACTAGTTCTCTAAATTAGAGATAAGTATACTGACAAGATAAAAAGGATTCTCAATGATCACATCAGAATGTGAAAACTTCATGTAAGCAGACATTATACCACGAAATTAAAGAACAGAAATGCTAGAGTTGAGACCAATCCTAGAGTAGAATTTCAAGAACCTTTGGTCGGATCATACTCTATGTAATGGGCGCTCCTAGAATGAGGGGATACCTGAAACCTATAAAAATATCCTATTACTTCAGCCAACTTCAAATATAACCATTGCATCATATTATTGCCACCTAGTACTATCGATAACTGGAAAAAAAATCTTAATGCGATAACTAAACAAGAATTCGGCACCATACTCTAAACAGTTGATCTGGGTCATGTAGTCAGCTAACTCAGAGATTGTAAATCCTTTTTATATGTATTAATTTCTCAAACTGACAGAACTATGAAACGCTTGGTTGAACGTAACCAACATGGATGATTCAGTACATTTAGTTTAGTCTCATCAAGAGTCTTTGAAAAATGCTAACCTTTGACTTGAGTAAACAGATTCATGAAAGATGTAGACAAGGAATCCAATGACTCAAATAAACATGAGATTATTTTCAGTGTTATTTAGGGGGAAATCATGATTTTCTTTTAACCAAACCAAAGATTTGTATCTCCTGGGGATTTCGGTAACATTATATACTCTGTGTTCGACAGCGTTGTCGTAAGCTACTATTTCACGAAATAATAATAAGATTAAGCCTGAACAACAGTGTGAAATTAGTGGTCTAATAAAGTGGCCACTCTACTTGCATGAACATCAGTTAGATACCAAAGATTACAACGTGTCTTTCAGGAGTATGAACAGTAAAAATAAGTTTCTTCAGAGAAATTTCTAAATCTTAGACAAAAGAAATGCAAAGAGTGCTGGATAATTTTTAAAGCTTCGCAGATTAATCATTTAGAAGCCAGTATTCATATGAACATGGACCCTGTCAATCAACATATGAAATAAATAAATGCCTAGGACAGAGGTCAGATTATAGAAGAAGAAAATAGAAATAAATGGGCAGATAGGAAAGATACAATCATGACTATCAATCAATTAAATTTTATGTCAAAGAAACAAGACAATTACTTCTAAGGAAGTTCCAATGCAGTAATTTTTAGAATTCACTTCTGACGATACTAGTCAGAAAGTGTGAATTTAACTATCAAGCTCAGTAAACAAATCAATAAAATCACTACCTGCCCAGTATCTATATCTGATACTAAACATATACACATACAAATCTAATTTTCACTGTGTAGTCACTTGTTTTGGGAAAATAACGACGCCAATAAGTCAATATAAGCAGTATTGCTTAGTATGGTAGTTTAAATGTCTCAAAGTGTTCGTCAAAGCGCACAAAGTATTCCGAATACATCTTGAAAGAAGGAATGACATCACAACCGAAACTACCTTCACTGTAGTATATTGTAGGTCACTTGATTTGCTCAGGAATTTAGAAAGTGCACAGGTGTTTTCAATACGTTAACTATAGAAAGGGTTATGTATAAAAAACAGCCTACACCGAATGTGTCTTAATAACTATACCACCCAGCTTCTGATGCCTTTTTTGTTTTGATTTAATTTATGTTATTACTCTTCTATATATTTAATCACATTAATTAATTCAACATGTTATCAACAGAACGAGTCAATTTAAGTTATTCGAGGGATTAAATGATATTTTATTCAAATGAAAATCTAATGAAAAATAATTCGTTACTTCCCCATATTGTTTTTTCTATTCAGAGTTAACCAAATAAGCCCCTTTTAAATTGACCTTAAATATCGATTATAGAAGGTTAAATGCTTTAATTTATATAAAGTTAGCGAATTTAAATCTCACTTGGAATAATTTGTTCGTTTCTCTTAAACCTCATGCAACTAACTAAACCTCTTCGAAGAAGTCAGCGACAGTTCGATTTGACAAGTCCATAAACGCAGAATTTATAGGGACGGATCATCGTTACTAAGTTGTAGTCTTGGTTGGATCAAACCGTTTTAGATAAACTTTTTGACCCATGCGCTATAAAAATATTGGCAGTTTGACCAAATATATAGTATTGATCATAGAGTCGACTATAATAATAAGAATAATCTGAATAAAGCAGCTTATTAAGTAAAAAAAAACTTACTTTAGTTATTTCCTGTCTTACTGATTTGTTGCCATCTGCCAACAAACAAAGAAATAGTATAGTAATTTTTGATCCCAAATAATTTGTGTCAATTTAAAGTTTTTCACTGGAAGCATCAGGACTAGTACGGTAAAAATATGGAAGCTCACTGTGAGGATGAAGATTATTGCTGATTTTCAAACCTGATGTTTAGACGAAAGAGAGGGGTATGAAATTACATATTCTATTGAAACAAATCCACTGACAAACTAGCTCATATAGGAAGGAATGTTTGAAAAATAAGATTATAGTGAAAATAAAGTAGAAATAAGGAAGAATTTCATCACTTTTACTACTTCGTTTAGAAGCTCTACTCAGCTTTAAGCGGACTGTTGTAACTATTTAGAATAGTTTATGTTTCAAGGTAATCCAATGTACAAGATTTAGGAATAAGTGAAGTTTAAATAATATGAGGGTTAGTAAAGAACAGTGTATAGGATGTTCTGTGCAAGCTAAGAATAATAAAACGTACGTGTTTAGGAAACTATAAGTTGGGACGAGATATATCTACATTTCCTTCTGAGATGTGTATTAGGTGAGTTGGTTCAGTTGTGAAACCTCTGACTAAAATCATTAGCACATGATTCGAAAAGAACAGTAGAAGTTTCATCATTAAACCATCCAGGTCAGAGAAAAAGCACTTCCAAAATAATCCTCAGCTACAAATCTTCCCTACCGTCAAAATTCATGCATCTATATGTCACCCCTTGTATGCTATTTACTGTGCTTTTACTCATAGATTGTCAAATTTCATTTCACTAAACTACGTAGAAATAAAAATATTCATAGTAGGAATTTCATCTTACTATTGGGTCAAAATGTATCACCATTAACGGTTGTTTTAAATGTAGGTTTCCCATTATATATGTATGTTGATAAAGGATTGATCGAGAATACTTGACTGGAAGTGTATAACAAGGTGTATTGTTTCTCTTCAAGACAAGTTTAAATTGAGGAAGTTTTCCTAAGAATATACAAACTGAGGTTAATAAATAAATATGGCTTATCTTCAGTATTTTATTTCATACATCATCTAAGATATGTTTTAAGTATTTACAACTAATATAAACCAGATAGATTATATGTTCAGCATCATGATTCCCAATTAGTGTTGTTTCTTTAATTTCATCGGACTTTCCGTAGATGGTTGGATTTTGGAAACAGTTCATAAGTGTTTATTGGTTAACCGAAATCTCTAATTTTCTTTTTTTTGACTGTTGGGATTCACTACAGATGACAAATCATTGATTCACGAGCAAAAAATAGCAGAACTAAACTGAACAAAATAAAACTGACAATGCTACCGATAAAAATGTTTTTTGAGTAGTAAAATAGGTAGGAACTCGACAATCGAATTTCGACTCGACACTTTCTATATTATGTAATCGTTTTCATTGTTATCATTGACTCATAAAATACCTTGATTGGTTTAATAAGTTCGTATATGCATATAAATATTACTGCCTGACGAGGATCTAATCGAAAACAATATTGTTCGCTTATATATGGCGTCTTAATTTATAATTTATATTTCAAACTTTCTATATCGTCGGGAAATTCATATGGTGTTTTGCTCTTAAACTTCCGCTAACCTTTTTTTCGAATTATATCACATTAAGGTAGCAGTCTAATCAAATTTTATATTATACAGCAGGACTAAAAAATACAGAAACCTTGATAACAATCTATATTTCAATATAAAAAAACCGAAATATTAGGGTATTCGTTAATGTGTTTGTAACACTCATTTTATTTTGATTTTTGGTATTATGGATGGATTTTCAGTATAGTTGCGTTCTAAAAGTACAGTACCAATTAAATGAATCACAATATTGTCCTTAAACTAAAACCAGGTTTATAAGCCGCGATATTAAGATGAGGACGATAATTGATAGAAATAGGCGATAGCTTAAAATCTCTTATTTCCCCTGCCTATCAATTATTAATTAAAATCAAAACATTTGTTTCGCAAATACTCATTTGGTACTTAACTTGCAAACTACAAGTTCATAATTCATCATTTTCAATGACTACGAAAGATGAAATTAACTAGTCGATAAAAGTAATTTATTTTTCTCATGATAATAATAGTAAAGTAATAGTAATAATAACGATAACAATAATATTAATGATTATGGTAATTCAAAATATGGAGAAAAATAGCATAAACACTGAGAATTACATTGACAAGAGAAATTACGATGTTGATGATTATATAAACGGTGGTGAAGTGTATATATAATATTATGAATAAATAGTACGTTTGATATTATAAAAAGGTTATAGTAAATAACACATCAGAGGATAACAACAATGAAAACATTTTCCGACTGGGTTATGTAACTGAATAGACATATGAATAAATATAAAGATGGAGAAAACGATGAAAGTGACACTAATCTTATGAATTTAAATATTCAACAAAGGTTGATAGATATTAATAAAATGTAATGAGATGTAAAGAATAATAATACAAACTTAATAAAGAAGTAAACATCTGACGAACTAAAATAAAAGCAATTATAATTAAAATCTGTTTATTTATAAGTATCACAATATGATGAACAAGTCGACACTGAGGAAGTAAGAGAACTGAAGAGCTTCAACATAATAGTTTTACAATAATATCAAATAATATCAAATAATATACTAGGTGAAAAACAAATCAACGTATGAGGCAGCTATTCAATGCGATTATGCGAGACTTTGCCTATAAGAAGTTTTCTTATATAACATCTATATCTTGTTTATCAATAACTGAAACACAAGTCTTTTATAAATTAAGTTGAAGTGTAAAATAGTGACTAACAGAAAAATAAGTGAACTATTTGCTAGATGAACATGATTAGATTTCCCTTTTAATCTCATAGTTGAGGGCATATTTAGTATTCGTCCATTCACACCTGTCAATGATGATGTTCTAAATATGATTCGTTGTGTTTCTGAGAATCCCATTGAATTCTGTCCAGATAATTCTAGTTCGTATGCACTGTTTGGCTTTAAATCGTCAATTAAGAAATTGCATATTTTTTGATCTTCTGCCACTGATGTAACACACAGAGGTTCAATGTTATTAAAATGAGTCCAAGATCCAATAGGACGTCCAACTATCTCACCTAATTTTTGGATTAAATTATAAATCAAATGAAGCCTAGTTTTATTTAGATAGTTGCATAAACACTATTGTACACATAGACTGCATCAAGGGAATTTTTTGTTTCTTTCTTCAAAACGACTATTTAGTAATAAAATAAGGATCAGAAATCAATGGTCTATAATAAAAAACATCTTACACCGTGATCTTCCTACTTTATAAATGAGAAATACGGTATTTTCTAAACTACAAGATGTACATAGTTTAAATTGTCATTGAACTAAAGCACAACCCATATGATGGGGGGAAAGTGAGATCACATTTTCCTCTACTTCACTGTGATTGTTGCTGAATATTACATTCTTTTTTTAAAGCAATTAGTCCATTTGATAAATTTCGATAATGTAATAAAATTATTAGAACTATGTGAGATATTACCATGGAAAATCGAAAAGACAAGAAAACGATTGCGTCACATCCCACTGTGTTTACCAATTTAAGTATGTATGTGGTCACACATACATAGCGAGGAGCAATCGTGATCTCAAAATTAGGGTGTGTGAACATGTACCTAAATGGTTACAGAAACAAATGACCTGATAAGAATAGAGGATAAACATCCATCATCCTCTATAATTGAAACAGGTCATAAGATTGATCTTAACTCGGCTTTTGTGGTGTTGTACAAAAGTGTAGAAGGGCGTATACTAAGGTTTATTACAGCCTTAACTATACGAAAATTCAAATCCCCTTTGTATGTTCAAAAACATATTGTTTTCACCTTAAACCTACTCTGGTTATATTAGCTTGTTATCCAGAGTGATCATGTTTCAAGTTGTTTTTCATATTATTTTATTTATTATCCTTGTCTCCTCTTACCCTCCATTTCTAGTCCAGTTGACCCTTTAATTTTGATATAAGAATGTCTTAACAAGTATATGCGTGATCAGATTGTTCGAAATGTATTGCGCTAATATATCACATAATTCCTTCTTTAATTCTGTGATAAGTGCTCAGACTAATACTCAACTTATTTATATTGTAATATTTTGCTCAATTTAAGATTAGTTCCATTTTCAATGTGATTTTCATTCAGTATGATATGATATTCTTTGTAATAAATTAATGTGAACTATGCTCAGAATGATATGTAGCATGTAGTTTGTTACCATTTTAGGTACTTTGACATATGTGACCTTTTTTCTAAATAATGAACAAAATGGATGTACAAATCAATATATAAATGAGTGTATTTTTATTTAGAATCTTCACTTGTACCATTCTCTGTCTTCATACTTCACGTCGAATGAATTGCAGTGGTTCATCAATTTTAAAGTATAAAAAATATGGAGATGCATATATAACGATGGCGACCCGGAAATAATATTAATTTAGTGTTGAATTATAATAATTTTTTAACACTCGCTCACGATCCCTAATATATCGAGTAGTGTATTAATTGTGTGTTTTTAATTGTCAGATGTGATTAAACCAGAGATTCAAAAGAATTAATGGGAATTTTGAAATCATAGTGGACAATTTATGATATTTAGCTGCATTCAAATTTACACCGATATCATGTTACGTGGCTAATTAAACCTGATATATTTATAGTAGTTACGGCTCAAGCCCTAAAATAATGCCCTGAGCCCTTGTATTTGTAAAACTCTGTTGTTATATTAAACACAGTAAATAATTAAACAAAAATTACGTCATTTATTTTCTGTCAATCGGATGTGCTTCAACTCCGCCTGTAGCTCTTCTAGAGTTACTGCCGGTCCCAAGCCTGGGTAAAGGAGGAGGGTTGGGCATCGAGTTAGCGACCCCATCCCGTAGAAAAATAACTCGCTAAAAAAACGCTAATCAGAAAAAATAATTCAAACCATTTAAACTCTGCCCTGGGAGTTAGAAGGTTTTCATTAAGAAGAATTATGACGCCTCGTGGTGAAAGCCAAATTCCTTCAGAAGCCACGAGGCCGACGCCCCTTCTAACAACCAGAGCAACAATTTTTATAGCTACGTGCAACGTCCAAACAATGCCCAAGAAAGGACCTCACCATTCTAATGGGAGATCTAAATGCCAAAGTCGGAATAGACAACCCCGGATATGAAGATATTATGGGACGACATGGACTGGGACAGAGAAACGAAAATGAAGAAAGATTTGCAAATCTATGTGCATTCAACAAATCGGTCATAGGGAGCACAATATTTCCCCACAAACGTATACACAAGGCTACATGGATCTCACCGGACCACACTACAGAGAACCAGATAGATCATATTTGCATCAACAAAAAATTCCGAAGGACAATGGAAGATGTGAGAACCAGGAGAGGAGCTGACATAGCTTCAGATCACCACCTAGTTGAAGCCAACTTAAAACTGAACCTAAAAAAGAACTGGACAAACAGCAATACAAAGGTTCAATACAGCCTTCCTTCGAGATACTGACAGACTCAATGAATTCAAGATAGCTCTCAACTATCAGGGAAATACAGTAAACCAGAGAAACCGGTCAAAGACAAACAAGGCAAGCCAATCACTGAAATTCAACAACAGCGGAACAGATGGGTAGAATACTTCGAGGAACTGCTGAATAGGCCGGCTCCAATGAATCCACCGGACATCGAAGCGGCACACACAGATCTTCCCATAGACGTCAACCCACCAACGAAGGAAGAAATCAGAATGGCCATCAGGCAAATCAAGAACGGGAAAGCAGCGGGACCGGACAACATACCAACTGAAGTCAGACATCGAATTGAATACAAACATGCTTTACCTTATATTCAAAAAGATTTGGGAGGAGGAACAAGTGCCGATGGACTGGAAAGAATGGCACCTCGTCAAGATTCCAAAGAAAGGAGATCTTAGCAAATGTGAAAACTACAGGGGCATTACACTGCTGTCAATACCAGGGAAGGTCTTCAACAGAGTGTTGCTGAACCGGATGAAAGATGCAGTAGACGCCCAACTTCGAGATCAACAAGCTGGATTCCGTAAGGATCGGTCGTGCACAGACCAAATTGCAACACTACGGATCATCGTCGAACAATCAGTTGAGGGGAACACGTCACTATACATCAACTTCACTGATTATGAAAAGGCATTTGACAGTGTGGATAGAAGGACGTTATGGAAACTTCTACGACACTACGGAGTTCCTGAGAAGATTGTCAATATTATCCGGAACTCATACGACGGACTACAATGCAAAGTTGTGCATGGAGGACAGCTGACAGATGCATTCCAAGTAAAGACCGGAGTCAGGCAAGGCTGTTTACTCTCTCCCTTCCTTTTCCTCCTGGTGGTCGACTGGATTATGAGGACCTCGACATCTGAAGGAAAACACGGAATACAATGGACAGCTCAAAATCAATTAGACGATCTGGACTTCGCAGATGACCCAGCCCTCCTATCGCATACACACGAACAGATGCAGACAAAGACAACCAGTGTGGCAGCAGTCTCTGCATCAGTAGGCCTCAGCATACACAAAGGGAAAACCAAAGTCCTCAAATTCAAAGCGGAAAACAACAACCCAATCACTCTTGATGGCGAAACTCTGGAAAATGTAGAGTCCTTCACATACCTGGGAAGCATCATCGATGAACAAGGAGGTTCAGATGCAGACGTAAAGGGAAGGATTGGCAAAGCAAGGACAGCATTCCTACAATTAAAGAACATATGGAACTCAAAACAACTTTCAACCAATATCAAAGTGAGAATCTTCAATACCAACGTCAAGGCAGTTCTACTGTATGGAGCTGAAACTTGGAGAACTACAACAACCACCATCAAGAAGGTACAAGTATTTATGAATTGTTGTCTAGACAAGATACTCAACATCCATTGACTGGATACCATCAACAACAGCCTTCTCTGGGAGAAAACAAACCAGCTTCCAGCTGAAGAAAAAATTAGGGAAAGATTATGGAAACGGATAGGACATACATTACGCAAATCATCAAACTGCATCACGAGACAAGCCCTAACTTGGAATCCTGAAGGGAAGCGAAAAAGAGGAAGGCCAAAGAACACATTACGTCGGATAATAGAAGCAGATATGAGAAGGATGAATAACAACTGGAAGGAGCTGGAAAGGATTGCCCAGGAAAGGGTCGGATGGAGAATGCTGGTGAGCGGCCTATGCTCCTTCACGAGGAGTAACAGGCGTAAGTAAGTAATAAGTAAAAGGATGTGCTTCATTTTATATAGTTTCACAAGTTAGAAAAACATTTTACGGCGAGATTATAATTTATGAACGAACCAATTAGACTGAAGATATCAAGTTTTATATTTTGCTGCGAAGTTCATTTACCTATATAATTAAATAGCACTTCGGCGTTATAGCTCATGTCAGTTCGTGGTGAAAACCGTTTATTTAATTCTTAAACCTAAATTTTAACTCTAAATCTTAATCTTAATTCCTTATACTAATTTGTAACCTGCTTTTAGACCTATAGTAAGATGAGTTGTCTCAAGATCACTTTAGCGTCTCTCTAAGATCGTCCATAAATTATGGTACCACCGATTTTGCTTTTATGGGAAGGCAAACTGGGCAGATAAAATAACATGAACAAAACTATATTTTACAAAATAAAAGTTGATGAAAGATTGTATCGTCAATAAAACAAGACTAGATTATTTCTCAAGAATTTTATGAATAAGGAAATTATCCCATTAAGCATCTTCCAACTTGGTTATTAAAATGAATTTCTCGTTTATTTTATGAGTAACTGAACAAACTAGTCACAGAAATTCAAATCATATCTTTAACCTGTTTAAAATCAGTATTACCATCATCACATTTGAACACAAATATTTTTTAGTTCTGAAGAGTATCTATCACAAGCAGAATAGCTCAGTACTAATGTCTGTGTATCAGTTTCCTCAGTAACGGAAGTGAACTTTGCTATTAAGTGTCAAGCAGTAAGGAACAAGGATCGAGTTTATGCTCACGTATACCTATGTTCAAAGGTAATATGTACAATTTGGCGTCACACTACTGGCCATGTTGTAACTTAGTTGATAGAATTTGATCAGCAGTAAGGACTAGACAAACAGAAGATAGATTACTACTGTATGATCAATCAGCATATATGGCTAAGACATGAGACAATTTTACACATATAAATGTTTAAGAGTACAGGATTCGATCATACAGAAAAAGTGATTGTAATAACTAACCAACATTTTGAAGAATTATTGAGCATATGTACTTATTTAAAATTAATTTTCTTTTCAAAATCCTTATACAAAAATGTAGAATCTTATTCTAAAATTCAATGACTTAATTTTTTAGACACCTCTGTTAATTAAAACGAGGAAATCGATGGTAAAAGAAAACCTTGAAAAGGAAATAAGGTGAAAGAAATCAGCTGGTAGAGTAACAAGTAGACGTAAAATAATAAGATGCCCAATATTTGGAGAGCAAAAAAAAGTGGACACTATTTCGAATTTCTCTTTTTTACTGTCAATAAATTGTGTTTTCTTTTACTATTCCTATCATATTAATCAAGATAAGTAACGCCAACCCATATATTATAGACAGGCACTAACTGAATTTACGGATCACTGTTTTATTTTGGTCTTGTCTTTTCTAAATAGTTTTCTTCCACCTTATGTTTACAACAACAGCAGGAAAATAGAATAATTTATTACTTATATACACATAACGAAATCGCATCTAGTGAAAACGGGTCACATGAACTCAAACAAGAAAGTTTGCATTTGAATTACAGATATGTGTATGGAATAAGTGAAATGAGGACGAAGGAAATTGAGAAACCATTCTCATCTAATTGTTTCGTATTAATATCAGTATTAGTTGGCAGTTGTTACTAGCATAAGTTGCAGCATTCATCTAATTCATAAGACTCAAAAACTAACCGACCAAGATATTTACAATCATCATAATTTAGAGGAACAAGATTAATATCTTTATTTCCTTTTTCTTTAAAATATTCTATTCCTAAGTATCTCAATAGTTTTATTAAGATTTGTCCATTTTAATGTACAACTTGAAAAACTGTTCATACCATTCATTGACATCCAGTTTATATTCAGTGTTCACTAATTATTTCAATAAAAACTTTGAAAAAAATTATATTTAAAATGTATAAACATTCTTAAGCACAACTGAGCTTCACCATCATTAATTAAAGTATTTACCAAGACATCAGAAACTCAATTGCTTTTGTCCTCTTGAAAGATAATGCAGTTTTGTTTTATTTTACATAATAATAAAAATAACAATGATCAAACCTAGCCTTTATGTGTGCTATGGAGAAAATATTAAACTTACCCATGGAATAATCAACTTCTACTGGTCTTATATTGATATTATATTGATTGATATCCATACCGTTTGTAGTTTCTGTATTCCAATGAACATTATATCCTGTGGGACTAATATAATCCTGAGAAGCAAGTAGTTTAATTACAGGTCTAGATAATCGATTAGTTGTAACCTATCAACATATAAAGTTAATTGATGATTACAAACGACGAATACTAATTAAAACATGAATTATATACCTTCATTAAACTTAAAAATACTCCCGTTTTTTACCGACATTAACTAACTGGATATTCTATTAGCAGTAATTTGTAAAGGATATTTTATAATAGAAGACTGAATAAATAAGAAACATGTATCGGTAATGCATGCATCATTCACAATCGAATAATTTCCTAATAGTAGAATACTTTCTCATTCTACTACTAGTTGACTTTGAACAAGAAAGTAAAAAAAATACATTCTTCCTACAAAGCTATTGAAAACAAGTCAAACGAACATAGAAGATAATATAAAATAAGTTCGTAACTTAAAAGTAGTATATGTTTAGCCAGATTATTGACACGTCATGTTGAAGGTTACCGATAAGATGTAAATTATGACGGGGGACTCCTCGTTAACTACAGAGTAGGACGAATGAATTTTACTACTGCTGTTTATTCTGATGTTTCAAATTGAGCATATCAGGAACATTAAGATGTCCTGTGACAAAAGGCGATCACTGGTTAATCAGCTAAAGGAAATGAGTAAGCTGGGCTTTCTATACATACATAGTGTGTATAGTTTACAATGATTTGTGTGAAATATAAGAATTGTGCTGCAATATCAGATAAAAAGATCTTAAAAATAAAGATGAGAATAAGTAACGGTGGACAAGGTTAATGAGAAATAAGTGATGTTACACATACCTGTAAATATGCATTTGGTCCTCTTCCTGCTCTTGATACGGCTGACAGAGCAAATCGATAGTAATAACCTGGAATAAGATTTGGTAATCTCAGCACTCTGCGACCAGGAAGATAAGCGAAAGGCCCATGAAAAGCACCACGTGGATGAGTTTGAATTCTTAATTCATAATGAGTTAGTGGCAAACCACCTGTCTCATTTGGAGGTTCAACACACAATTCAATTAAAGTCGCTTCAACCTAGTTGAAATAATGAAATGCATATATAATTACATACATACGTTGAGTACATACATTAATTATATCATTTGCATATATTCCATTAGTTGTCTTTTACATACTTAATAATTCTTCCAATTGTGTTTTTATTCCAATTCCTCTCTGTTTTCCTTTCTGTTCTCTTCAGTTCGATCTTCCCAGTCTTCTGCTGCAAGGCATTCCACTTCTGATTGATTTACATACTACTTATATCTGTCAATATAAGTAGCATACACCACAATGGTACTTTACATTTCTTACTCCTTGATATTAAATGACTATCATCTCTTTTGAAAACATTTTCCGAAATAGTTATTAATAGTGATATAATCAGCTAATATGCTTTGTTAAGATAATTTAATAGTTGAAATGATAAAAAGCAGTCGATCCATCGCTCCTCAGGAGACCCGATTACTGACGCAGTGAACTGACATCCAAGACAATTTCTAGCCCAAAGAACGAGTTCTTTTGAATAAAGTACCACGTTTATGTTACAGAATATTGAACAAATGAATAAACACGATTAGAAGTTAACTGATACATCAACGATTAGAAGATAAACATTTCGTAGATCACTCATGTGCCAATGAAATTTCCCATAACTTCAGAAATAATATCAGTTTTTAATAAATAACGTTCTAATAAAAAATCTTATTGAACCATATTAATTTAATAGTTTAGCACCAGTGGCGATAAATCTCGAAATTGATCGTAATAACATCTACATCACTTTGTAAATGAGAACATTATTTTTATGAAAAGATTTCAAGTGAAGGAATGTGAAATGAACATTTACAACATATGACATGAGTATACACTTATTGATAAACTTAACTGAGATTGCCTTTTAGAAGAAGAAAACAAATGAAATACGTAGGATCTAATTTGTCTACTGATGGATGAAACTATCTGTCTCTTAAACGAATTAATATAGTTAGTTCAAAATATGGGAAAGGAACGATAAGCACATATATTTCGAATACTAGTAAGGACATGACGAAAGCTAATTTATGAAAGAAATATCCAGTTTTACTTTTTTGAAAAGTGTGACTTCGTAATTGGTCAGTCCAAGAATAGACTTAATCTAAAGAACAGACAATTACCCAAAATATGCTTGGTTGATTCATTCTTATAGATCAGTATTAACACAATAATAAACTTTTTGAATGGTAACTTAGGTTTTTCTCATGTGACCTGATCAAGAAAAAAATATAGTATATTTTTTAGAGCTCATTTACCGTATATCTTACGACAACTATTCATTAGTTAACTTACTCTACAAGCCCTTAAAGCTGGTCTACCAGGATGGCTAGCTAGCTGCAGTCGAACATGCCCAGTAGCATGGCCCAATCTATTGGTTGCAGTACATGAATAAGTACCAAATACTCCGACATTCCAATAACCAGCAGGAACAGTTAATTCAGTTACAGAATATTCGCCGTCTTGATAGTCCATTTTAATATAACTGAAATTAAGAATTATGAATCGTTTTTTATCTTATTACAAGGTGTTAGTTAAAATGTAGAAATTAATAAAAGTAATTCATAAATTTGCATATCTAAAGGTTACTGTTCCCACCTCACTGGAAGGGAACAGTACACTGTATTTGGAGGAAAGTGTTCAGAGTCTCTACTATCTCATGAAGGTGTACCACAAGGAGCTGTCCTTTCACCTCATCTTTTCTCTTTTTCTTCTGCATGATCTGCCATCTTCCACAGAAAACACTTTTGTGAAATATGCGGTTGATCTCACTGTATGTATGCCTATCTCTTCCTCTTTACATCCCATAGAAATGAATGAGTTTTTGTCTCGTATTGATTGTTGGTCTGTTGGTAATGGTCTCATACCTAATCCGTCTAAATGTCAAGCCATTAACTTTAGCATGAGACATGAACGGAATCTAAACACCATTTTGAGATCCAATAATGCTTGTGCCATTGGAGGCTCTTTGATAAACACAGTGTCGAAGGTCAATTATCTTGGCGTTACCTTTTTCTCTGATCTCTCTTGGTCTTCTCGCGTTTTATTGTTATCGGAGAAGGTTTTCCGTCTGACTTACTACATAAAGGGATTGCATGCTCTTGGGATTACTCGTCATTTACCCTTACAATTTGTCAATTCTTGCATATAACCTATTATTCTTTACTGTTCTCCATTATTCTTTCTCGGGCTTTTGTGAAAAGACTTTGCTATATTGCGGAGAGTGCTGAAGGCAGGTAGTAAGATGGGTAATGAATCTTTCGAGGTCATAATTGATATGTTTGTGGATAGACATCTAAAGTCATGCAAACTCCTGGCAGGTGTTATTTTATCAGATACTAACCATGACCTTTACTCTTATCTTTCTCCTTGTATATCTTCTGGGAGAACGAGACGCAATTAAATTAAAATCCATGCACGCAAGGAAAAGTATAAAAGTTCTATAATACTTTACCTAGCAAATATACTCTGTGACGAACAGGTTGTTAGAGTTAACCTAGTCAATAACTTGCATTCTTAACATATCTCTAATTTGAAAAGTCGTACAGTTTTTAGGCTTTTTAAACCTTTTTTCCGTTTTTTGTCTTTGTTACTGTTTTTTGCGTAAGTAAGTTGTTGAAATACTGTGTACTGAGAATTCTATATTGTACCAGAATATAATAATGAATAAAGTCATTAATGATAATAATAATAATAATAATAATAATAATAATAATAATAATAATCAATTAGCTTTAGTGAAGGGAAGCTTTTATAATAAGAATTAAGTCTATCTGAAATGGACAGACTGACAAAAATCATGGTAATGTTGCTGAGGTTACATGTGCTGTTACACATGGGTTTCCTTTATAAATCAAAAACTGACCACTTGCAATTCTAAGTATCAGTAGGAAAATTTAAACAACCAATATATATCACTTAATATCTTGTTTAGTACAGAGTCAATTTTGTTTTGAATATGAGACAAATATCTCTTAAAGTGCTTTTTGTATGTGAAGGAATTGTGAACGTTTTCTTTTCCTAATACGCACCAAGTTTCTATACATCAAGATGAATTACCCCTTCTAAAGTTTATAATAAAAAAATTTATATCTCTTCAAAATAAACACTGACTGGAAATTTGCATTACTATTGATAAACAGATTTCGCCATCGGCAAGAGTTCTTGTTATAGCAACTTCTACATACTACCGTTAACTGGTACATGTGCAACAAGATAAAGGGCTGATTATTAAAAAGTCAAGTTCAGTTTATTTTTCCGGATAATGATTGTGTACAGTTCATAAGTGAATGTGAAGATTTTTTGTAAAAACCCATGAAGTTGGCAAAAAATACATATATAAGTGAATAATAGTTGGTGCTGACATATGATAAACAGAGTATCTAGTGATAGGATAGCAAAAATCTTGAAACTAGTTGGTGACCTAATAGTCGGAATATGGAACTAGTTCATTAGTGTGAAAACTTAGCATATCATTTGTTTCTTATATGCATTTAAAGCATATACAATTGTTACCGATTACCATCCGTGTCATAATTCGAAAACAAACTGATAACCGAAATATTTTGTAAATGAACTGCAGCATGTTTTTGGTGAGTAGTTATGGGACACTAGTCAAACATCATATTGGATTTAAAGGAAGGATTTTAACATAATCAGAGGCAAATAATGCATCTAAATAAAATTTCCTCATGACATCAAATTAAATTATAGGACAAGTTGCACATTTTTTCTACTCTATCAGTCTTGACAACACTTAACAGAGTAACAAAAATATATTTGGATGCATATCAAATATTCTTTCTAGATAGTTTGGTGAAAATATTGTCAGATGGCTACAGAAAGCTTAAAACGTAGCTAAACGTATCCATCATATTTTTCTGAATATTCTACTGTACGAGATCCCTTTATTCGAAACAAACTATTTTAACTTGGAAAGTTATCACTGAACTTATATTTATCAACTTAAGACAGCATTTGACTCAGTTAACCGAGAGGTTCTGTGGATACGTTTGTCATTTAAATACATACCACAGAGATATATAAACCTTCTGAAGGCTCTTTATTCAGAGACTATCGGTCGAGCCGGACCATATGGTGAACTGTCACTGGGATTTTCAACCTCAAGTGGTATTCTGCAGGGTTGCCCACTGTCTGCCTTTTTTTCAAGTTCCCATAGATGTCTTTCTAGAAACAGCGCTCTTCACATGACTACTACCTGAAGCTTGTGCTGATGATGTCGTTCAGAAGAACGATGAAAGCTCCATGACCAGACCATCCAGTTCAGAGAACAAAACTCCGCCGAAATCATCCACCTGAGTTACAAATTTTCTCCACCGTCTCAATGTCATAGTCTTCTTTGGTGAAAACTACGACATGATACAACGTCTTTTGGTCACCTTGAGCAACACTGTAAGTATTATTGAGATGCACTACTATCTCTCGTTATGCAAAATGTAGTCTCAGTACTTGTTTGTGTCAACGCATGAACTGATGATAGAGAGTGAGGTAGTTAAGTGTGATGGTTACTTCACTTATCTTGAAAGTTTCATCAGCCCTATTGGGTTGGCGTCTGACAAAATCTCGACATGGATTCAGAGAGGTCGGTTAGCTTTTGCAAACTTGTCTCACCTATAGAGTAGGTGAGATGTCCGTCTGCTAACTAAATGGCAAGTTTACTGTGCAGTAGTTCGCCCTGTTCCCCTTGATGGCTGTGAAACATGGTCTATAGAAATAGAGAATATTCGTAGGTTTCTAAATGTCTTTAAAGCATTGCTCTCATTTCGTGGAACTGCCAAGTGGGCAGTGTTGAGATAAGGAATATTTCACTTGACAAAGGTGTCAAATCGATCGATAAAACTTTAAATCTTTATCGACTGAGTTGGTTAGGACATGTGTTACATGTGCCTAATCACCGCCACCTGGACAGGCGATGTCTGGTGTTGGAGTAGACTGGAAGAAAGCTAGGGGTGGATAAATAAAGGGATTTTTTGCTTAATTTTATCATATTTTTCACATAGAGTAGAAATTTGAATCTAAGGCTACTTTTATGATAAACATTATTTATTTATTTATCCAGTAATCAAACTGTTACATCGCCGTGACACAAAGCAGCAGGAAGTACCGTTGTAGACGCTAATCATCCAGTCGAAAATATCACTTGCTTTTCTTTATTGTTATATTGACATATTTACTCTTAGGTATTTTAATTGCTCGGGATAAATTGATATTTGGTTTTTAAAATCAGTACTTGTTGTTTTATTTCAGACTTTAAAAACTAAAATTAAGACTCTTACAATTTCCAATGTAATGCGGAGATGAAGTGCACAACGCTAATCAGTAAGGTTACTTACCCTTTCGGATCATTTAGTTCACCTAATGGTACACTCGGTCCACTTTGTGGTCCCACCCATTTCCATTGAGGTGTTGGTTGTCCTAATGCTTGACAAGCTATTTTAGAAGGTAAATGAGATAGACCATAAACAACATATTTGCCAGGTTGAGAGAGTGTTTCACTTTCATCCGCATCCAATCGGTCTGATATTTCGCTAATACGTCGAGGCTCTGCGACAGGTGGAGCGAACCAAACTGTCACTCTCCCAGGCGGTTCTGATGATGTAGGAGTAACTGCTCGCCAATGAGGTCCGGAGAGTGCTTCACATAAATAAAATGAATTATCTTCCGGTGTTAGATCTGAAAAGTATTGAAACGAAGAATCTGGTGTAGTTTCTGTCGATAATTAGTAACTTAAATTTCACTGATAGCAGTTACAATACTTAATAGCAGTTGTTTAAGAAAATGAGCAAATGCTCAAACATAGTAATTCATATGTTTTTATACGTTATAAGAATATCATTTATAGTTATTAATTTTTCATTATTATGAATGAATGGCAAATCTAACTGCTACTTAGTTTTCAGAATGTTGACTGAAGTCATCACAAGAATCACTATTTAAACACGCCAGTCATTGACCAAAAAGCATGTAAAATGAAACGAACCAGCACGTACATAATTTATTACCACGTAAGCAACGTCAAAAGAACTGAAAGGTTTTTAAATTTTAGGTCGTTAATTAAACAAACAAACAAACCTGTTTTTATAATTCAATGAAATATTTAAATGGCTTAGTTATAATCATTCATAGTTCAAATATGCACAAGTGATACTGTTTATTTTACTTGAGTAATCCGGCCCAAATCAGTTGAAGTGTGTCAGATTTGACAGTTCATATCAAGAAAATACCTTTTTGCATCAGGTCAATAAAAAAAATACTAAAGACACTTTAAATGAGTTAGAAAAATGTCCAAAAAGAAGTACATTCGCTTTCCGAAAATATTATTAGTATTATCACTAAAATATCCTAAATTTTCCCACTCACAAATTGACAAAGTATTTACATACTGGTGATGATTTCCCGTTAAATCATTTTACACAAGTGAAAAAATCTTTTTGAGTTTGAGTCCCATCTATTACACATAGTTATCTTCCTTATCAGAAAGGACCACTTTATTACATAATACTGTTTTTGGGGTCACTGAGCACAAATCATATATCTCTAAATTATTCAATACTTTTAGATGATTACATCCAAAATTTATCGAAAACGAGAAATTTATTAATATCCTTACCTTCAATCTGTATGCAAACAATGAATGTTGAAAATACATTACATATTCTTACTTAAACTGAATATGTTTCTAAATTAAAATAACCAAATCGATTTCTTAATTAGTGCACAACTAAAATCGAATCTTATCAAGTTTCTTACTGGAATCACTGATTTTATGATAAGCCATTCTTACCAAATACATTAACATTTAGAGTTCAGGAATTATAGTTTAGGCTCACTTGTATTCAGTATGGGCGCACTCCTGAGGAGCTCCATATTAGTCCTCCCTGACTTTTAATAATACCCAAAATAAGATAGCTCTCGAGCAAATGTAATGTACAGAATTAACCTTTTTATGGACTTAGTTTCAAGGTGAGTGACTGGTTTCGTTGTGGAAAATCCAAAGAAAAATATTTTGTAAAGTATTTTTCGAATCACAATTTGCAGTATTTAAAAACCAGGAATAAGCAGAGAACACTTATCACAAAACACTAAAACATTACCTACAGGTTTCATAATCATATGTGTGTTATGTTTGCTGAAGTCTTGACTGACATGTGCTTGATACTGGAACCCCAAATCCAAAAATGAATAGGACAAAGACAGAAACTGGTGATAAGAATGTTTCGATCTCCAAAATAGACATAACTGATACCTGAATACACTACTTTTTATATGGTTCTTTAGTCAGATTAATATTCAGATTTATATAATTTAAAATGGGTATTACTCAACATCAATTAATCAGTAACCTACAGAGTGAACACATTTAAAATTTCATAATTAAATATTTATGACCAACAGATATAACCAACTGACTAAGTTAGGTAATTACTCTTTCACAGGATGTAATAATATGCCACAGGGGATTGAGAATAAATCATTTTCATGTATTGTTCCCACTGCAATTCGTTAAATCATTGCTCGCTATATCAATTTAAAGAGTAATTAAAGTGCTAATGTTACAAAACAATTCTGAAGATTAGTGGAAAATTCTTAAAATTTCATGCAGTGAAAATATCTTTTTGTCAAATAGTGAAACGCAAGCTTAATGGACAATCACTAAACGTTTTGCAGAAAATTCATCACAAATTGTCTTTAGAAATAAATAACTAACTACAGTAATAGTTTGTTGCTGAATAACTAATAATCAAAAGAGATACAATTACATTTTCTGACCATACACATAATCTGTTGATATATGATATCATAGTTTACGAAAGCTTACCTGTAATATCCAAACGTAGAATTGTTGCGTATGGATTTCGCGGATCTGGTTCAACTTTCAAGTGATATCGAGGATTCATACCAGGTTTGACAATTTCAATAAAATCACTGTTATTTGATTTATCGCTCATGCCATTTCCAGTCAACAAACTTGTGTACTGTGTATCAGATGGAAACCAGTCACTTAATTCGTTGTCTTTAACGAATGATTTATGATTAAACATTGTGTTGGTGTATGAAGAATGAACTGACTGAGGTTCAGGAAGATCTTCATACGATTTAAACATAGGATTTTTATTTTCTGAATACATAGAATAAGATAAAGAAGAAATTAGTTTGTTGACACCAGGACCTTTTAAAAGCCGAACCCGTAGACCCATTTCATTCGGAAGACCGCCGTATGCTTCACACGTTAGCCTGCAACTTTCTCCAGGATATCCGCTGGCTTTTAAATTAGTTCCTGAGCGAACAAATCTGGGTCTGAGAACAACATCAGGAAGAATGCTGCAAAAAAAATAGTACGAGTGTTGATGAAAAGCTTCAGCTAAGTAGAAACCTACATTAAGTTAGAATATTATGAAAAAGAACTTTAAAAAACACAAAAACAATGACAATAAATTCATCATATGTAAAGTTGGAATATGTTTTCTAGGTTGTAAGTAGCAGAAGGGAATTCATTTAATAAACGACTTCATATTGCTTTGCTACATTCGTTGTTCTTGCCCGATTCAAGAATATCAATGGAAAAAGTATCATGAATTTTCGGATAAAACAAATGAGTTAACTATTCTACTACTCTTTGATTCACTTATGTAAAAATACTCATACGAGACACGTCGCCATGAAGTCATCGTTAATTCTTGCTAAATATGACACTTAAATCTGAGTTAAAACTCTTGAACTTGAAGAAAAAGGTTTGAGGAAAAATGATTCTTACTAACATCAAACGACAACTTTCTTCTATTCCATATAATGAATTGTCCTCATAATGTATTTGGACATGGAATAATTCAAGACCCAATTTTAGGCAAAAAGGTTTATCGCATACGTAAGTCATCTCATTTAATTAATTTTTACAGATATACACTCACCTCCCAACATCAGTAAAATTTCCAACCCCACCATAGTAATTCAAATTCAAGAGGGCAAGACAAGTATAACGAGTGGCATCTGAAGGCATTAAGTTATTGATTGTTAGGCGTGACATTGCTATAACGGGGTCTCCCCGGTCATCTTTTCGAAGACCAGTAGACAACTGAAAACGACCTAATTCATGTGTTTGTATTGCTTTTCTGTGAATGCTTCCACGATTTTCAGGTGCTTTGTTTGTAACTTCATTTGATATATTTACCATGTTAATTACAGCAGGAAAAATATGATCGAAGTCAGCGATAAGAATTCCCAGTTCTCGTTGTACATCTTCCAAAGGTAAGTGCTGTAATGCTGACTTGATCCGTTGATCAAATGTAATAGCCTGAGAACTATTTGTTGTTGAAGATCCCATACCACCTCTATACCAGAGTAGTTGGGGACTCGGTCTCCCACGAGCTTGGCATTCTAATATGAGTCTTCCACCCTCCTGAACTATCTTTCTTGTATTTGTCATAATAGGTTTTTCTTTCTCTTTATCATTACCACGCCATAAAGGCAAGGCAGTTTGCAAATAACTGGATGAACCTTGAATTGTATCTAAGCTCTGTTCATCCTGACGCTTGTTAACAAAGTGTTTATATGGATCCACCAACTGTGATTCATCTGAATCAGTTGTAGAGAATATTTCCATGGGGCTTCCCGGAAGTAAACGTGGACGTGAATAAACTATGCCACGAATGGCTTGGATTTGTATCAAGAAAGGTGAAGTTACAACTCCACTTTCGTATAAGCGTGAATCGTATTCTGAATTTTGTGGTGACCATGTTGGATTAACAGTTTCTGCCTTGCATAAAAATATTCCTGAATGACGTGTATCCACTCTCGAAATATCTAGTATCTTTAATTTGAAAACATAGAGAGAAAAAAACAATTAATATCGGTTTATACGTGATGAATATTTGCTAAGTTGATTTTAAATACATAACTTAATTTACAAATATGAAATTAAAATCTGCACGGAGTGATGTAGAAATAAAATGGTGGTTACATGAATGATCATAAACTATTAATGTATGGTAAATCTTGGCTCCAAACATATTATACTTCATTCAGCTGCAAAAGTAGCGACTTTCGAGCTCATTTATTCACTAAAATTCTGCGTGCATTGTACTTCACAAGTCCTGTTTGTCATCTCTCTTCCTCTTTGTAAATCGTGTCACATTTCTATAAATCATCGAAGATATTTTAGAGCCCTTTACTTACGATCATATTTAACGTGTCCTATGTTTATCTTCCCTAACTTCTTATGAATGGCCTAAGCAACCAAGAGGTTTGATTAGTTATTCGATCTGTTGTGTTTTTAATGTGAAGGGCCCTCACCTAGTTACGTTTTTCTTATGGCTGTTCATTATCCATTGTTGAGTTATTTGGATTACGTATAATCCTCTGTGCTAGGCGAGTTTCCTGACAAGAAGCGTCCTAAGTGAAGGTTATTACTCCATTATTCTGATTCCATCTATACTTGTGGTATCACATATTTTTCTAAACGTGTTTAACACATTTGAGAAGTGCTGTTCTTGATGTGTTTATATTTATTTCGAATTCATTTCAATTTGCCGTATCGAATTTCTCAATCTTCGGGTATATGACTTTCTCTCGGGCTGGATATTACTAAACGTATTTTACGACAAATCATTGTGACTACAATAGAATATATACTCACTAAAAGTTATCCACCTTCCATACATTTCTGTTTATTGTAATTTTGTTATAAAGTTGTTGGAATCAGACTAGTCAAACTCATGAATTCTGGGGCAATACAGAATTAAAGCCTTTACTAAATAATTGACGCACTTAGAAATGTGTTGGTTTATATGAAATAAAGATCCGATTTACATTAACACATAACAGTGAAGACAGAGTAAATCGGATTGATTATAATATAGTTTATATCAAATAGTCTACTGAAATCTTGATCAATCCGGAGTAATATTTGAGTAACAAAAATACCTAACAATCCTGTAGAACTTGAAAATCAACAAATGGAATCAGCAATGGCACTCCATGTGATGTTTAACAACAATCGAACCGATGTTAAAAATATCCACATGATCCTAAAAGTATTTTTCGACTAAAAACAAATAAATATAACTGAGGCACTTCACATATTACTCATTCCTACACTTTTCGATATAAGTGAGGGGCTGACTAACCGACCAGCCAGAAACATTTTTGAATAGTCATATTTAACGCAGTTGGGAACATACAACTAAGACACAAATTAAATGACTCATTCACACTATAAATATAACATTTTCCACACCTACTCACATACACAACTCCGCCTGTAGCTCTTCTAGAGTTACTGCCGGTCCCAAGCCTGGGTAAAGGAGGAGGGTTGGGCATCGAGTTAGCGACCCCATCCCGTAGAAAAATAACTCGCTAAAAAAACGCTAATCAGAAAAAATAATTCAAACCATTTAAACTCTGCCCTGGGAGTTAGAAGGTTTTCATTAAGAAGAATTTTGACGCCTCGTGGTGAAAGCCAAGTTCCTTCAGAAGCCACGAGGCCGACGCCCCTTCTAACAACCAGAGCAACAATTTTTATAGCTACGTGCAACGTCCAAACAATGTGCGAGACCAGTAAAATAGCAACGGAAATGAGGAGATACAACTTGGCAGTACTGGTAATCAGTGAAACCCACTGGACCCAAACTGGACAGAAAAGGCTAGCTACGGGACAGATGCTGTTATACTCCGGTCACGTAAAAGAAAATGCTCCACACACTCAGGGAGTCGCTCTAATGATGTCCGAATTAGCACGAAATGCACTTGTAGGAAGGGAATCTCATGGATCCAGAATCATCAAAGTATCATTCAAAACAAAGAAGGAGGGGATCACAATGAATATTATCCAATGTTACACACCCACCAATGATAGCAACGAAGACATTAAAGATCAATTCTACGAGCGGCTGCAGTCAATCATAGAGAAATGCCCAAGAAAGGACCTCACCATTCTAATGGGAGATCTAAATGCCAAAGTCGGAATAGACAACCCCGGATATGAAGATATTATGGGACGACATGGACTGGGACAGAGAAACGAAAATGAAGAAAGATTTGCAAATCTATGTGCATTCAACAAATCGGTCATAGGGAGCACAATATTTCCCCACAAACGTATACACAAGGCTACATGGATCTCACCGGACCACACTACAGAGAACCAGATAGATCATATTTGCATCAACAAAAAATTCCGAAGGACAATGGAAGATGTGAGAACCAGGAGAGGAGCTGACATAGCTTCAGATCACCACCTAGTTGAAGCCAACTTAAAACTGAACCTAAAAAAGAACTGGACAAACAGCAATACAAAGGTTCAATACAGCCTTCCTTCGAGATACTGACAGACTCAATGAATTCAAGATAGCTCTCAACTATCAGGGAAATACAGTAAACCAGAGAAACCGGTCAAAGACAAACAAGGCAAGCCAATCACTGAAATTCAACAACAGCGGAACAGATGGGTAGAATACTTCGAGGAACTGCTGAATAGGCCGGCTCCAATGAATCCACCGGACATCGAAGCGGCACACACAGATCTTCCCATAGACGTCAACCCACCAACGAAGGAAGAAATCAGAATGGCCATCAGGCAAATCAAGAACGGGAAAGCAGCGGGACCGGACAACATACCAACTGAAGTCAGACATCGAATTGAATACAAACATGCTTTACCTTATATTCAAAAAGATTTGGGAGGAGGAACAAGTGCCGATGGACTGGAAAGAATGGCACCTCGTCAAGATTCCAAAGAAAGGAGATCTTAGCAAATGTGAAAACTACAGGGGCATTACACTGCTGTCAATACCAGGGAAGGTCTTCAACAGAGTGTTGCTGAACCGGATGAAAGATGCAGTAGACGCCCAACTTCGAGATCAACGAGCTGGATTCCGTAAGGATCGGTCGTGCACAGACCAAATTGCAACACTACGGATCATCGTCGAACAATCAGTTGAGGGGAACACGTCACTATACATCAACTTCACTGATTATGAAAAGGCATTTGACAGTGTGGATAGAAGGACGTTATGGAAACTTCTACGACACTACGGAGTTCCTGAGAAGATTGTCAATATTATCCGGAACTCATACGACGGACTACAATGCAAAGTTGTGCATGGAGGACAGCTGACAGATGCATTCCAAGTAAAGACCGGAGTCAGGCAAGGCTGTTTACTCTCTCCCTTCCTTTTCCTCCTGGTGGTCGACTGGATTATGAGGACCTCGACATCTGAAGGAAAACACGGAATACAATGGACAGCTCAAAATCAATTAGACGATCTGGACTTCGCAGATGACCCAGCCCTCCTATCGCATACACACGAACAGATGCAGACAAAGACAACCAGTGTGGCAGCAGTCTCTGCATCAGTAGGCCTCAGCATACACAAAGGGAAAACCAAGGTCCTCAAATTCAAGGCGGAGAACAGCAATCCAATCACTCTTGATGGCGAAACTCTGGAAGAGGTAGAATCCTTCACATACCTGGGAAACATCATCAATGAACGAGGAGGCTCAGATGCAGACGTCAAGGCAAGGATTGGCAAAGCAAGGACAGCATTCCTACAATTAAAGAACATATGGAACTCAAAACAACTTTCAACCAATATCAAAGTGAGAATCTTCAATACCAACGTCAAGGCAGTTCTACTGTATGGAGCTGAAACTTGGAGAACTACAACAACCACCATCAAGAAGGTACAAGTATTTATGAATTGTTGTCTAGACAAGATACTCAACATCCATTGACTGGATACCATCAACAACAGCCTTCTCTGGGAGAAAACAAACCAGCTTCCAGCTGAAGAAAAAATTAGGGAAAGATTATGGAAACGGATAGGACATACATTACGCAAATCATCAAACTGCATCACGAGACAAGCCCTAACTTGGAATCCTGAAGGGAAGCGAAAAAGAGGAAGGCCAAAGAACACATTACGTCGGATAATAGAAGCAGATATGAGAAGGATGAATAACAACTGGAAGGAGCTGGAAAGGATTGCCCAGGAAAGGGTCGGATGGAGAATGCTGGTGAGCGGCCTATGCTCCTTCACGCGGAGTAACAGATGTAAGGAAACTTGTAAAAGTAGTAAGTAAACTCACATAAACATGAACACAAAAATATGTACAATACAGGATCACCTAAATGTGACATTTGCGTAGTCAGACTTTTATGTACTAAATGTTCTGATCCGCTTTATTCCCTGAACAATTTGAAAAAAATTATTTGTTCTTTGAAGAAGCAACTTACATCTGACATTAAATTTTGTGCTCACTAGGATATTACAAATATATTATTTTTATTAATCAATAAAATTTATAGGTGAAGTAATTTTTATCTACTTGACACTTTCCGGTCAGATCAGGATTTCAATGCCCGAATACTAAAAATATTCGTTCCCAAATGACTTTTCAGGTTAGTAAACGAGTAGAAAAGTCAACGGTATGATTTTTCAGTCAAAATGATGAGATAAACAGTTACGGATGTGCCCGATTAAAAGCTTTCAGTGATCAAACCTGTTCATACGAATTTCGCTAATTTATCTTTTCACGCAAGTATACAGGGATACTGTCTCTACGTAAAATCACTCTTTAAAAATTTAAAAAGTTTATTTACTTCGTTACATACTAAACGTAAGTACTAGTAAATTTTCTTTAAGTTCACATGTGCTAGTGACTGAAATATGCTTTACAGAAGTTAAATTGACTACAAAGGTTTAAAATTCAAACTTAGTCACGAGTTTTTATTGTATACACAAAGATTACCGATAGCAAACGCATCTTCGAGCATTATTTTGGTTGGTTATCGAAAGGATGAAGCAAATCAATCGACTTCTCGATTTCATAATACCTCATCAACTTTGACCACGTAAATGCGTCAAAAGTTTCTTAGAAAATATCCACAGGGTTAAGAAAGTAGGCTCAAAACGAATATAAATTAAAAGCTGGTTTAAGCTAGAGGCTTCATCAAGTATTTAAATGAAGGCCAGGCTTTGTATTCAAAAGAGACATCTTGAATTCTTCATTTTACCATGGCCCTAGCGTCTCATATAACTTTACTATTGTTACCTGCTCCCTTCTTCTTCATCATATTTGTATTCGTCAAGTGGGAAGTTGATTGTCATACTTCCCATCTATAAATTATATTAGTTTACTCCTTTAAATATAGTCCAACGTATTTCACGGTATATATTAGCTAACATAAACTACAGTGTAAAATCACTCTAAATAAAATTTATATACATGTTCATCCTTGCATAACTAGCTTGTATTAGTGCTAACTATAAATTTTTTATTTCACATTCACTGCTTCATACACTCTGTTTTTGAGGAACGTCCGAATTGTCTCTCATTCTCATAGTCGAAGTTTATCAGGCGGAACTGAAAGTTTGAGTACGTTTCCAACCAATTATGAATTTGTTTCCATGTTTTAGTTAACAACACACAATCACAATTTTAGGTAGAACATTGAGAAAACATTTCCGATTGCATCACAAATACTAAAATCTATGTTCAGAATTACTTTAAAGACACTCTGAATTAACCATAAGGCTTGGAGGTGACAAAATTAGATAGGAACGTCTTTGGTTCCCTTTCCCAGGTAAGAAAGTATAGATATTACACAACCTCAGGATTACAAGATAAGTTGAAAAAATTGGCAGATTGATCTTTAGATAAAAGTTTGGTTCATGTTATGATTGCTCCTTACAACCAATAGTCGTATTAACACAGAGTGGCGAGGCAGACAGCTTGAGAATAGCTACAAAATCAAGGCATAGAATCGATAATGTGAAATGACCTAGAAAAATTAACAAGTAATCGGACAATTATAGGTAACCGCAGTTTGAAAAACGGTAAATATTCGTCCAAGCTACTGTTATTTTATGTCTTTGTTCGCGCATTCTTAAAACTTAGAGAAAGTGGATAGCTGAGTCAATTTGAAAAGAAAGAATAACGCAGCTCACTAACCTTGAGTTTGTCGCACAGTATAATTCAGAAAGTATTTGGATGATACTTAAACACATATTTTAGAATGATCTGAAAGTCTGCAGAGATGAGAATATAAGTAAGTAAAATGATGCCTCTTCTACTGTTAGACGTAGAGTGAATATTCTCCGACAAAAGCAATGTATACAACTCATATAACTACAATTAATTTCTACTTTTGCATTCCTAGGAATATTTTTTACATGGTATATAGTTTTCTGGGTGATTCGAATGAATTGTAAATCAACAGAAGCTTTTTCAAATATATGTAGGACTTCATATTAAATGAAATAATGATCAGATCTATCCGTCGTTAATATGAAGATCAAATATGACTTCAACGAATAATCTACTATCACCCTCCTTACAAATGAGTATCATTCTGATTGAAATAGTGCAATTACGCGTACCCAAAGTGTACAAGTTTTAGCCTCTTCTGTAATGAACACTATAACTGTGAAAGCAATAACACAACAACTGAAGTTAAAAATTCTGCACTGTTTCATTTATTCAGTGAACGGAACTGAAAATGACAGTTTACTGTCGTGAGTACAGTTTACATCAAAGATTTAAGGTTTCATTTACGTACGTAATTAACCAGGCAAGGTAAAATCTGTAGTGAAACATGAATATGTATACATATTTATACAAATTTGAAATACTTTTTGTTACGAATTAATACTATCTGCAAAAGCACTAAAAAAGAGGAAACCGTGAGAAACTATATCGTCTTGGTGGCAGTCATTAATCGCGATCCTAGTTCATTGTTAGCAGTAAACCGCAACAGTGGGTTTTATTTATCAGAGTTTTAAATAATATTGAAACTTGAGTTATGGTCACGTGGATATGCAAACAAGAATTTTTTTCTTTCGAAGTTAACTAATTTAAGCATAAATTTTCATTGTATCCCAATAGTTAATCCATTCACGCAGTATTTCGGAGAGGAAACAATACAGTAATAACTTTTTAAGATAAGTTAATTTAATGATCACTAACGTATACCCTTAGTTATTTTTTCAAACAAAATTATCCGTAGTACGATTCAACAGGAAAAAGCCAGTGTATCTGGGTAACAATCTAAAGGAACGACAGGAACCGATCACTCAAATTTAGAAAATCAATTCTAATGATGAGACTAACAATAGAAAATAACTTTCTATTCACCCTCTCTCTCTTCAAACAATTGAGGAAATTATGTGTACGAAATTGACAAGAAAACCCTAATCATTGTCAACAATCGCTTTTGCAACACACAAGTTATATTTGAAAAGATATTTCAAGAAAGACTGTTTCAAATGTATTGCTTATTGTAGTTTTATAAATCTTGTCAAGGGGTCGAAAAGCCGACATATGTTTCAACTGATGTTTATTATTTTTCAGTTGAAGCTTGAATGTATACTTAACAAGATTCTATGTCGATAGATTGATATCATTATGATTTCTAACACTACAATGTATAATTACATCTAATATGATATACATGATCTTCAAAAAAGAGTAAATTCTAAACTTCTGAAATAGATACATAGAGGTAATCAAAAAGGAGAAAACATCATTAAAAACTAGTATAGAATATTTGTTTGCAGTTTGTATCATGAAGTAACTTCAGCTGAACAACCACTGAAAACCAGGTAGCACTCTTATGACTATGTGCTTACCGGCGACTAACTTCAAGAAGTATTCTTGAAACTTTAATGATAAACCATGACCAGTAGAATATAACCATGTCAGGAGTGAAACAAATATCAGCCCTAGAAATCGATGATATCACATCAACAACTAAAGTTGGACACATGAATGACCAAGATAAAGTTTAAGCACTCGCCCCGATACGTCCTGCCTTTAATCCTTTATTGAAAACACTGTAAATGAGTCACAAAAGACGATGAAACAGCTACTCAGTGCTCTATGGTTTCCGATGGTTTTCTTACTGAAGTCACCTCATATAAGTTAAGTAGAATGATGAAGAAGATTTGTAGCTTAAATAGATGCTTTTGGTAGTCGTGTATTCTCCAAACTAAACATGTTGAAATAGAACCAATCTATCAGTCCATACAGAAAAAGTCTATCAGTTACATAATCAGAAGGGACGTTAAAAGTAATGAAAATACAAACAAAAACAACATAACCTATTACAACAACCAACCAGAAACAAGACCAGAATGAATCTATTCAACTCCTGTGGAATAACCGAAAAGATAGCTTCTAAACTAAGTAAGCACTTATGATGTTGAGGAGAACATCAATGAAAGCTTGACAATTAAACCATCTAGCTCAGGCGACCCAACACCAAAATATGCTAAGTGAGATATTAAACGAATAAAACTTGATGGTCGTTCAGGATAGTTTAAATTGGAAGGAGATCAGTTCCGCTATGGATTAACATTATCTGGAAGGACATATATGGAGTGAGGGATTACTATGTACCAAAAATAGTAAATGTCTGTCTGCCCACATTACGATTAATGGAAGTTAGAAAGCATGTTTAGTATTGTAATGAAGGAAGACAATCAATAGGGGGGGGCAAGCTTAGTAAACGCTACTCAAAGGTTTGTTTATAAGTAGTGTGTAGCGGAACGTGGCATTGAAACTTGAAGCAATCGTGGGACGGAGTGAAGAGTTTTGGTGCATTGAAAGCATGGCGTCGGCATAACACGTGGAGAATAGACGAGAAGACGGTTCAGATTGCAGAACACATAGGAAGATGCAAATGGAAGATTGAAAGCTGTGTATATGTATTATGTAAATAGTTTGTAACTCCTAACAATTGTCGGGGATTGTAGTATCATTACTTCAGTTCATTGTTGGAGATCTTATAGTTCTGGAAAGACAACTCTGCGAAGGGAATGTTGTTCACCACCCCAATATTTCAATTAGAACAAAATAGCTACTTAGTCTTTCTTGTTTTCAAAATGTTATCCATCTCATGTTAGTCTGTGTTGAAAACAACGTTCGTATATGATACTGAACGTACAACTTGACAACCGAGTGTAGTAAGTTAGCAGGTCAATCTTATTGCATTTGAAAAATTGTGTATAATTCAGAAATTTCATCAGCAAATATTATCTCCCGAATCTTAAACTAACTACCATCCGTACATGGAAATTTTTACCCGTTATGGTTAACCTCAGTATTAGTGGTAAACAACATGCCCTGAAACTACGAGTATATTATTGTCGCGATTCGCAGTGGAATCGTAATATCTAGAAAATATAGAAATTCATATTGTTTTTTTTAATAATTGGCTTAACTACATTCTTTAATCCGAAGCTGCAGTTCCGGACACAAAGTACAAAGATCGAAACATTATTATGTTTCGGGATGAATTATTAAAGGAAGGGAAATATTTATCAAACATACCACGTACTACTTGTTGACAGTAAGTAATATGATTTGAGTAATGAAACATGTAAGTTGTCAAGGTTCACATTTATAAAGCTGGACTTCTCGTACGACTAACCCCAAATTTACCGTCTTCTTCAATCTTGTTTTGTCCCTTCATTCAATACAAAAAGACGGGACGATTCCTGAGTCATACACAACAAAGAATGTGTACTCATGAACCTTGTTGTTGGAACTAGATTTAATGTAATTTGGAAATTGACTACATGAGTCAGTCAAGTTTATGAAAGACCGATAAGGAGGGACAGTGATAAGAAACAAACAATACGGAAAATCAGCGCATTAAAAAAAGTGCAAGAATATGCAGGTACGCGTAAAAAGTATAACTAGCATTTACTTGTCCATTCTGAGAAATTCGTATACCCAATTCTTCAGGATCAAGGGCAACAGGGCGGTTTAGTTGCTCGGTAAACAGCTGATTTGATCCTGATGCAAAATTTCTTTCATGTGAGGATGATGGAAAAATATCAGGATTTTCCATTTCAGTAAGAGGGTTCTCAAGGCTAGTGTTATTGACTTTAAACAAATTCTTTTGTCCTATTTGTTTCATTACGATCGACGGCGTAATTAGTTGACGACCCTGAAAAAACCACGTAAGTTGAACACTATCGAGATTAAGTTGTGAGTTAACTCGGCATTTTATTTCTCCTCTTCGTCCTTCTTCAAGAGCGACAGACACTGCAACACCAGCCACAACTGCTGAACCAGAATCCTCTACATTAGATGGGGGTAATGGAATGAAGTCTGCCAAAAGCCTAGGTCTGACATCTATAAAGACACTAGCTGGAAGGGCTGTAGAACTAGGGTGTGTGTTTCTACATGTATACTGGCCACTATCTTTGGCTTGGAATTTCTGAATAACCATCATAGTTATCTGAATAAAAAAAGAAAAGTCAGTTCAAATGGTAGAACACCGAGTAATCGAAACATGATTGTTTATATTATAAGGGAATCTCACATGCATATCATCATGATCCACGTAATAAAAGACTACTTCACTGCAGTAAAATTAAACTAACAAAACAAACCTATCAAATAATTTGAGTTATTGAAATAAATGTATAAAATTTCGCAATGTTTGTGAAAAACTACTGAATGGTTTCGGAGACAACATTGACATAGAATTTCCAAAAGTGGTGAAAGCAAAAAACGAACTATTTATAGGGTTGACTAAATATAGTGCAAATATGCAAACAAGCTACAAAAAGAGAAAGCTGATAAGTTTATAGGGGGAGATTTTTTGACGAGAAAAATTCATGTCATAAAAAATACAGTTCTAACTAAATAAATATGCTGAGTGATAATATAAAGACTTAAACCACTAAATAAAATGTCAACAATAGCGTTCTTGTGAATAATAAAACCAAACATCATGGTGATTATTGCTTCATAAAAGAGTTAGGAGTTTCAGTTTGCCTTTATTTCAAGGTTAGTTAATGAATTCGAGTGGTTGACATTCTTGCTACCAACTCAGTCGGAAGTGTAGACATTAAATCTCTACGCTTTCCAGACTAATGTACTTTAGCACCTAAAATCAAGTTGTAAAGACAATTTCACGCTCAAAAGGATTAAAAAGTTCCCGTTTTGGTTGTTTCAACTAGGTAAGTTTATGAAATAAAGAACTTCGGTGACTCAGCAATTTTTCTTCATCGTGGCTTTTGATGTAGAATCACATTTTAAGTAGTTTTTCGCCCTGCAACTCGTGTTAAGTTGTGATGAATGCTTTAAGACTAAACAAGTCCATCAGGTCTCATCACAGCTGTAATTATAATACTCTATGGGTGAGTATTTTTCAAGTATCCTGTTACTTAAACACACGAATTTGTTGATATAACCATACTTCATGATATTAGATATGGCGAAATAAATTGGAAAAATATCCACTGAGATGTTGTCCAGAGCAAGCACTTGGACGTACTACTGGCTCAAAAGTTCTGTATCAAATAGTTTCCTTACAAGAAGATCCTTCTGAAGATCAACGCTATATCCTGGAGCTGTTTGTAATCATTAGCAGAAACTAATCTGCGCTGGTGATGAGAAATTATCTAAAACTGAACAGTTGTGTTACATTCAGGGAGAACTAACTCATAAAATTAAATTTTACTAAGCTTTCTGAGTTAGAATCACTAGCTATCTTACTTTAGAAGCATTTCTAATGACGGCAATAATAATATACATTTAAACCAACGTGTTTTGAGTGTGTACTAGAAAACGGTGTATTATTTATGGGCAATAAAGCACAAATACAGCCAACATAATTATCAGGTTTTTAATCCTCAATCATCGTCTCTTATCACATTAGGTTACAAGTTAAAACTTCTAGTGATCGCTAACTTCTGGAAATCAGTTGTAATGTTTTCATACGACCGGTTTAACCTGTAACTTACATTGTCAGAGAAACCTGTTTGGCTAATCGGCGTGCTAATTAGGTGAAAATGTTATACATTACATCTCAAAGTATATAAAAACAGATAGTTTGGCACAAAATAATGGAAAACATACCAAGTGATCTTTTGAGTGAAAATCAGGCACAGAATATGCAGTGTGTTGATTATCAGATATTGGGTTAGAAAAATAATTTACTAATTCTTTTCCATCCGGGCTATTCCATACAAGTTGTTCATGATCATGACCATTACTTTTACCTGGTACACAACATATTAGTGTTACCCGACCTCCTTCTGTAACTAAGCGTCTTTGTTCCCCACCGATAATAGAAACTTTGTCACGACTACTGCAAATATTTCTTGTTCTAAGGTAAAAAGATGTTTCCAATCTTTGGCATAAACACACAATGATTATTAGTGGAAGCAGTGTGTAGTGTTTCATATTTTTGCCAGCTGAAATTAAAAACAACCAGACGAATGAAGAATATTTGTAGTTTAACAAAATAAATATACTGATGTGGTTTACCTCAGTGGTAAACATTATAAAACACCTGAAATACTTAAAAATAAACTGAATAATCTGTTCGTTTGGCAATTTGCGAAATTGTTTTAAGAAACATATCGACTTATCTTAAGCACGAAGGTTAGAAAATACTAGTCATGATCTCATTCGGCAAAGTAAACAACAGTGCTTTGATAAGCCGGCTGAAGATTTGAGTTGGGAGCAACAGACATACAATATACTGGGTTGCTTTTCTTCTTAATGCAACAGAACAGATAATTTGTCACCTAATATTCTGAAACCTAATTACTTACAGACATACTTGTAATAGTGTATGAGAATAATGCTGCCCATCTGTTTACTTGGATTGAGCCGCAGAATCAATTTTAAAAATTAAAAAATTAAATTGCCCAACAACTGGTTACATAAAACCCAAACTCATTTAGACCAGTTTGAACAAATTCCACTTTATTTCCGGTATAGGCACCTGTTACATGTTTTAGATATTTCAGTATCTAGTATTCGAGCCACAATTTTTCCAAAGGTATCTTCCATTTTGCAAAGTCAATGGCAGCAGCTATAATTACAAGTCGTGTATACACGTCGGTAGAAGAAGCCGAAAAGATTTATCGGTGTATACAATGAATGGCTATGAAATTGAAAGAAAACCTTAAATATTCGACTTTCTTAGGTTCTCAGTGAATATATCTGTGTTTCAAATTTTCACACCATGCTAGATCTCTGAAATAATAAACATTATAACTGAAAATGGGGTCAGTGAAGTCAATCCAATTTTAGCTGTTGAATGCCGGAATGATGTGGTTTCGTCCGTTGTAATAACTACTGACCTACTTTTGAAAACAATACGGCTGATAGTAGATGGTGTTAAAATTGTTTGGAATACCACTAGCCATAAAAACAGTCTACAGTGACAGGTAAACAGTCAAACAGATATTAAAAGTTTGTAATAAAAAGTATTTACGTCTCATAAATTCCGATTCTGAATGATTTGAAAATTAAGACTATCATCTGCGTATCCGCAAATAAACGCAAAATGATACAACGATCAAAATTATTGCAATGTTATTACCGATGACAAATGTAAATTATTTAGCTTTACATTAAGCTATTATTAAAAGATTTACAAGGAAGTAAACACGTTGCAACTTTATTTTAGCCCACTATTCAGTTGCGTATTGCTAGGTTATATGGACAGTTTTGCTAGTTGGACGTTTAGTGAATTTGCGTTTTATGTTTCACACAATGGCTTTAATGCATTAATGCATTTACATGGAAATAATAATCGTCCTAATAGAGTACTACAAACTTTGTTATCAAACGGTGAATAATGTACATATGTCATTGAGGTTTAGCAAATATGGATGGAAGTAAAACAGTCAAAACTGCTCTACGGAAAACGAAAAAAATAATAGACACAAAAAAGCAAGTCAAAATATCGGACTTTTATGAGTGCATTCATAGAAAATATTGGCCCAGCTAAACAAGTTCTCATTTACTTTAATAATGTGAGGCTTCGTTTGATTTGAAGTCTTTATTCGTGAGCACTTACTCATTTGTATGAAACTTACACAGAAAATTTTATAACACTGAACGTATAATATACCAAGTAATTGTAGTTGATTCCATCATAATCGAATGGTTATGGTTGTACTCAAACACGTATACTGCTTAGCTTCATGTATCTCCTGTATACCTATCACATTATTACGGGCCGCATCTGGCACATACATATTTCAGACATCACGTGAACGGACAAGCTCAACTAGTGAATATTGAACTGCAGTCAAGAGGAGCTGGTAATGCCTAGCCAGTGAGTAGTGGGTAGGCTAATCCTGATGGAAGAGGATAGTCTAAGAATCGTAGGTGACTAAAGTATATACGACAGGTCTACATAAGTTCAGAAAACAAGAAAATTGTAGTGGTTTGACCCTATGTCGAGCCCACATAGGTTATTCTATTTTCTAAACAGACCAATCTATTCACTCTTCCTAAATCACACCTAGCCACCCATTCACCTATCAGCCTTGACTGCTTTTGTTGTATGCGTATATTTGTGCATTTCTTATCTGACCGATCACATGTCCTTAATTTATTTTTGTTTGACCATCAATATCCATTAACGCTTAACTAAATCTGGTTGGCTCACACGCCTTCTCCAATCTGTTTCTCTTCTGCCCGTCTCTCTGATTATCCGTTCTTAACAGCGATTATACAAAATATACGTATCCAACATTTCATTTTCCTATTTAACTTTTTTGATTCCGTTGTTCACCGATGCGATGTAGGTCAATGATTATGTACGAGGATTAACGATATATATATTTTGATAACAATCAGAGGCGATCTATCAGGAGCCAGATATAGAGTTACTAAAAAGCGTTCAAAGTTCATGGTAAATAATTAGCAAGCCCACGTATGTGTAAATGGCCAAAGAGATTTACACCAAAATGAAGGTAGACGTGTATGCATAAAATACAATAAGAACGTTATAATTGGGTGTCCGAAGGTGATCAAAAGGTCAAAACGGGGTCTGTCCTGTTCATCCGTGATACGTTCGTAAACTTAACTATTCACGATTCAAAAATTTAAGGATTTATTACCTGTTTGCTGTTCTATATCCAACATCATTTTGACCAGCCGTTGTAATCTAGATGATTTCTTCGTGCTCGCTTATTGGTGTTACGGTATAGTTTCATGACTTTCGTACCATCTACTGAGAGTATAATAGCCTTTCAACTCCTCCAGTCTCAGTAATCCCATCATTTTTTGTGACTTGGTATATTCTGAGTACATGTAAATGAATTTGTCCTAGGGTAGTTGGCTTCTAGAACCACCAGTCATTACGTTTTGAGACAACAGATTGACTGGTTGCAAAATAAGGATTCAGTGGAGCAGAGAAAATGTCAAAATTCAGGAGAAAGTTATTTAATTAAACGAAAAAATAAAAAAGAATGTAGGAATAAACGTAAACGGAGGTAACCAGTAGTGAAATTGGTAGAGTAGGTTATGATTAATGGAAAAAACAGCAGTAATATAACATGACAAAAGTAATGACGACAGATAAGTTGTCAAACCTCATTCGATCTGAAAATAATTGTGTTGCGGTAAATCTTTTATGTCTTAGACATTGATGCTGACCTCATTAGTTTTACTGGACACTCAGAGTTGAAAGCGCTCAGCGAAGCACTCTCAACGGATCGTGCTACTCATCTCTTACAACAACTAGTCAGTTTAAACGGTATTCTTCTCGACAAATCGACTATTTTCTACATGTATCTTCGTGGCCCTCATTCCTCACTTGATTTGACTGGGTTTCGGACTCCTAATTATAAAGGTGCTACGGATAAAAGCGTTATCTAACCCTGAAAAGCCTCAACATATTTAGTGGTGAGCTTGGTACGATTTGATTCGCCATATATATATATTTACATATCGTGACACTATTTTTGTTGCCAGAGTTTTTTGCATATGTATATGTTATATCAACATTACGTTAAAATAAACATCGAAATATTTGGAAGTTAGAGTTCTTAATCCCTACCTTTCTACTTATCTCGCTCTGGCCTGATAATATGGGAGTTTGGTCCTGCCACGGAGAAATGGACTTCGACAGGCTCGGCGCAGCAGAATCGCGTGTACAATTCGTCACAGTATTGAAGGCACCACCACTCGCGTTCAACGGACTAGTCAAACACGGTATGTTTGCTAGCGGTATTTCTGAAACTCATGGCACCGAGAAATAGATCTATCTGAAAGAATGAACTGATATTCACATTTATAGACTATGTTCATTTAACATACATACTGTAACCCAATAAATGTTGTAATTTGTAGATCATGCCTGTAAAAATGGCGTGTACCTGCCCTTGTAGAATTATATCATTTCCTTTAACTGGTCGACAAAGGTTAGAACAGCTATTCCATAATGCCTAGTTGCAGCACAGCTTGTCAACAAAAGTGGTGATTCATATTTGAGAAGTTATTGGCCTACGGCAATCCGATGAAGGCCTTTTCGTTTCATTCCAAAATAACGACGTGAAATAAATAGCTGTGTCTGCAGACCAGATCCTGGAAATCCCCATAACCCTCAGCGACGATGTTTGCCCTCTGAAAGAAGGTATCGGTTGACTAAAAACTAAAGATCTCCGTAATAATCGCATCAGTTTTCCTGGCATTCGGAATGATCTCAGATGATCCAGAAAACCTCAGAAAGTCCATATCGAAAAATAGACAACTCTTACTGACCTTCGTGCTGTAGAAAAATTGTTTCTCAAACCTACGATCATTGGGGCCGAAAATAAGATCAGTGAGAAGATTCACTCCCAACATTTAACAAGGAGAAAATCCGAAATGGTGAATCCAGGAACGCTTATTCCGTACGGAATGATTCAGGCATGCATGCGTAGTCACTTTATGTAGCGTAGATATACTATTCTGTCACGGGCCTAAATATGTTCTTCAGTATATTACTAACTCATACAATAGAACTAATCAGAATGAACACGTAAGATCTTAAAGATTGGGTTGTCACATCAAGTCAAGTATATAATTAGCGACTGTGTCTATTATTCTAGTAGAAAGGATAAATTCAGTTAGTACAGACGTAGACATCAGTATCACATTGGTGAAACCGACTAAAAAAGCTCATCGTGTTATTAATTCTCATATTCACCCACTCTATCGGTTGATTTTCACTTACGTTAATCCATTATTACATTTGTCTGTTGATGAATGCTCAAGGGTACGGTTTCATCGTAGTGTTGGGTAGTATTCGAACCTGAATAACTAGCTCAATAGATAAAAAACTAATTAACTAAAATTAAAATTGGCTATCACGGTTCTTTAACAAGCATTGACATCATTTAAATTGTACACCTAACAAAGGTAAGACTCGATCAGCTGTTCACTATAAATTAATCCCCCATTTATTCTCTACAAACTATCCTCAGCAATGTTTTGCTATTTGACCTCTTTGTGCATAATTCTTTATTACTGTGTTCAATGATCAAATAGAAAGTACGAATATCAGAAGTTTATATTAGGATTGAACCTCAAAATTTGCTGCAAACTAAAATTCTGACTAGGTTGTTCGTCATGTAAACTCTATCTATTCGGCTTGCAAAGGTATGGATTTATATCAAATAAACATACAATGGTATGCTAACTCAATAATACGACATATTTGATCCAGATTCTCTTCAATTTATGTTGATATGATAATTAACTTTTTCAAATAACTAAATAACTGCTGAAGTAACTCAGAGTAGTTCTATGGTTGCACTAGATAATTTTGTATTATATTTATCATCCTTAATAACATTATACAGTTACTTTAACACTGATTGACCATATGTTACATTACAGCCGTCGGGTTGCGGTTGAAATCATGTATATTTAAGTTATGTAAGGCGACACTGTATGGATATACATATTCCATGTGCATAAACAGTCTGAATAAAAGTTTTAACCAGATATTAGCCGTCTAAATGTACGTAATATGTTAGTTAACCCTTGATAATGAGTATTCTGCAACAGCTTTTTATGAGACGGATACGCTATCCACATCTTTTAAACTTTGGTAAAACTGATGATTACCAAAGTTTACTATAATCTCCACTGAACCAACTGCAAATCAAACCGGCACGCACAGATCATCCTATAGATGTCACTCTGCCAACGGTCGAAGAAATCAGGATGGCCATCAGACAAGTCAAGAGTCGGAAGACAACAGGATCTGACAACGTACTAGCCGAAGCACTGAAGTGAGATTTAGTAGCAACTGCAAACATGCTCTACGTTCTATTCAACAAGATTTGGGAGGACGAATAAGTGTTGACAGACCGGAGAGAAGGATACCTCATCAAGATACCAAAGGAAGGAGATCTGAGCAAATGTGAGGACTACAAAGTCGTGACTCTACTGTCAGTACCAGCAAAAGTTTTCAAAAGAGTGTTGCTAAACCGGATGGAAGATTCAGTAGACGTCCAACTTCGAGATCAACAGACGGGATTTCATAAGGATCGGTCGTTCACTGACAAAGTGCGATACTATGGATTATCGTTGAACAATCAGTTGAGTGGAACTGGTCACTATACATCAACTTCATTGACTCTGAGGAAGTGTTTGACAGTATGGATAGGATGACCTTGTGGAACTCTTCGACATTATGGTGTACCTGTGAAGATCGTAAATATCATACAGAATTCATAAAACGGACTACACTGCGAAGTCGTTCATGGAGGGTATCTCATAGATCCATCCCAAGTGAGGACTAGAGTCAGACAAGGCTGCTTATTCTTAGCCTTTCTTTTTTTCTGGCGATCGACTGGAATATGAAGACCTCGACATCAGAGGGGAAGCATAGAATACACTGTACAGCTTACATGCAACTAGACGATTTCGAATTCGCAGATGACCAAGGTAACTCGACCTGGAGTCCCTTCGGTAGCTACCGCTGGTCCCAAGCCCGGATGAAGGACGAGGGTTGAGCATGGGGTTAGCGATCCCATCCCGTAGAAAACTAACTCGCTAAAAAACGCTAAAAACGATAAATGACCTAGGTTTTCTATCCCATACACACTAACAAATGAAGATGAAACCAACTAGTGTAGCAGCAACTTCTGCACCAGTAGGCCTCAAAATACATAAGGAAAAATGCAAGATTAGAAAAAATCATCACAGATAGTACCAATGCAATTACAAAATATTGAGAAGCTCTGGAAGATGTG